TGTCGCACGATTTTATCCCTTGTCGTCAAATGTCGCAATACTATCTTTTAATGTCGCAAGATGTATATTGATGATAAAATTAAGCTAGCTAGTGGTATTTATTTACAATAAACATTGATTAAATGTATAAATTATTTAGTAACTTTGGGACAAAACAAATGTCCCGATCTAGCTGCCGTTAAAAGATGAAAATTGCTTTTTTTAAAGTGTATTGTTCTATAATGGAAATATTTCAAACATTGATAAAAGAAAGAAACCTATCATTTTGATGTTCTTACCAAGTATATCTTTAAACAAAAATGTTTATTCTATATGATGTAATATGACATTTATATGATGAATTACTAATATTTGGATCCTAGTACAATTTATCATCAACATCAACATATAATTCTTTCATGGTTTATTATCATGCACTGTAATTAATATTATCAACATAAATATCTATGGTTATGCATGCTTTCCATCATAGACCATTTCACTTTAAATGTCCTTTTCGTTCGCGATTAAATGTAAAATACTATTGATTCAAATATAGTATGCATCTATACGGAGCCTCTAAGGTGACATTTTCCACACTTTTTTCCCGGGATTTAATTCATTATTTCAAAATATTATTTCGTACTTACGAACTATTAAATTCGTTATTTCAAAATATTATTTCGTAATTACGAAAATTAATTCGTTTTTACGAAATAAAAATTCGTTTTTACGAAAATTAATTCGTTTTTACGAAATAATAATTCGTTTTTAGTACTTTTTACGAAATAATAATTCGTTTTTACGAAATATTAATTCGTTTTTACGAATAATAATTCGTTTTTACAAAATGTTTTAATATTCGAATCCCGCCATGGACTACGGATTATTTCATGTTATGAAGCTATCCAGCTAGCTAACGGAGGATCGGTGGTTCTACTCAGGTTTCCGTCTTGACATTGTTGGAGAACCATATGCCTTCCTTCACCAGTAATGTATTACCTTATCGTGTGACGTTTTAATGTCTGAAAACTAATGAAAACTTTGCATTTTCAAAAGTTTTAAGTTCAGAGTTATATTTTCCTAATTTAGTTTTTTGGTTTTATAGGTATTGTTTGATTTTATTTACCTGTCAATTACATACTGATTGTATGGTCAATGCATACAATACATTAATTTTCAATACATTTTGGGTAAGTTTCGTGAGATGTTCATGGTAAGGCTTAATTTATTGTGTGTCAATGAAATAGTTTTGCGCAATATGGCAAATTACGGGTTTATAATGTCTAAATGACCTGCGTGTTTTAAGAGAGAGAGAGGGAGAGAGAAAGAGAGAGACCGCGAGGGTAATAATTTTTCTTGTTTATATTTCAAACATTTTGAAGCTAAGCTTGTTTATTATGTTGGTCGTTTTGTTTTAATATGTTTTGCATTATTTTTGGTAAAGTCTATGATCTTTTTTAAATTTCATTGTTAAAGAATTAATATGTAAAATTCATTCGGATTAAGATTTATGAATGTTATTTAAATGTCGTAAAAATGTCGTAAAAACATACAAATCCAGACAAGACAGTCTTCCTAAGTTGCATCATATCCATGGGAGATAATTTTGCAAGCACTATTCCTATAAAATATTCTGAAAAAAAAATAAAGAAAGAGTAGGTCTAGAACAATGGCAACATTAGAGATCGATCAACAGACTTCTCTTTTATTAGGCAGTCACTTAACCGAGTGTTCTTTTCACGGACGTGAGGATTGCCTATACATCAAGATAATGTGACTTTTTAAAACTTAAGTTATTTACTCAAAATTAATTCTCGTAAACTGCACAGACAGAACAAAAGTGGTATCGAATAGTTAAATGAGTGATATAATGTATTCATAATTGACATGTCAATAAAATGTTAAGTTTTTCTCATTCAGAATCACCCGAGTACTTTAACCATTTCTGGCACTGGGTTGCACCGGCAAGCAATAAGATAAGAACAATCTTAACCTTTACTATATTCTGGTTTTACTCATGTACTTAAATTTATTGTGGAGCACGTTAATTGGAATCAACCGTCCGTTGGCTTGACTTAAGGAAATAATATTCTGACCGATATATATACCTTTTACGTGAAAAAAGATATTTCATGAGAGATCTCCAGTAGAATTTTATAATCATTGTTAATTATTTCGATCTGAAGGGAACTTCTATAACATGATTCACTTTTGTAGATGCATGTTCGGTATATTATACACTGTATAGCTTTATATAAAATTATATCACATATAATAAATCGTATCGTAACATATTATATTATTTTACTTCCTACATAATAGTGTTCAGTCTTAACCATAACGTGGGCGTTAAATGAAAAAAAATCAGTAACATATAGTGGCTGATTCGGTACACTTTGCGCGATGCATTGTCGATAGCGACAACACAACCTATATCGTTATCGCATTTTCGTCTTGTCGTCTTGTCGCTAGCGCCAATTTGAGCCGAGCGCCAATGTGACATCGTGACAACACGTCCCACGACAACGTGCCAGTTTGGCGCGCACCGTTAGCGACAGGACGACAAGACGAAAGTCCAACAACGTGCCGTTTTGCGCTTTGTCGTGCTGTCGCTAGCGACAACAAAACGCACAAAAAGTGTTCCAAATCAGCCACCATACCAAATAAAACTATATCTTTTGAAATATCTTTATAGAATTTTTCAGCAATAAAATTATAATATTTCGATAACTTCAAGCTCAATTCTTGAGAACAAAATTTTCACATAGATTTTCTCTAAAACACACATATGGTAGGGTTTTTGGACGTTTAGTGATGATTTCAATGCAAGTGCAATTCGCTTTTATGGCAATGTCTTTCGTACAATGAATTTGGAAATTCTATATTAAACTAATAAATTTTAAGAATCCCTCCCCACTTCCTTCTATAATATATTTTACTAAAGACATGGCTGTATAAGTAATATTCTTAATTTCCTGAATGATTCATTACATTTAGTTTCAGGAAGTCCAGTATGATATAGTACGTATTACATAGTACCTCGGTCTTTAACTCTAATTCAGTCTTCAGCTCAGTATGTTTAATATTTGTGACCAGACTGACCATTTACTATATTACTAGCAGAAGTTAGTGTTGTGCTCTATTTCTTAAATATTAACATTTTATGGCAATTTGACTTTATTTTTTCACCATAAATCTAATGGAGTGTTTTTGAGAAAGGTCAAATGAAAGTCTATAATGTATTTCTCATTACAAAGATGTCCTTTTTTAATGATGCTATTTTAATGTATAAGGATTCTATTCATTGTTCACTAAACGTCTGAGCAAATAAGTGACCTAGAATTTTGGATCGCACTTCACGGTCCTTAAAAATTGAAGGATACCAACTTGTTAAAAAGTGAGCACTTGTATAATCTGGGCGTTAGTGAGTCAAGAGAAGAACTCACATCAAGTACCACGTGTCCACTTGTAAAATGATAAGTGTCCAGATGTTGCTATAGGCTTATTGCGTTTTACTTATTTTCATGTCCATTTGTATTTTTCTTCCTTTTTCGCTGTTTTTCCTTTTAATGTTGTTATGTTAGTTGTAACCTTGATGACGTTGGTAGTTAATATAAGACGTTCTAAGACGCCCTATTTTCTTTGAAAAGCGCTAGGAATTTGACAAAAATATATTGAAGATTCAAAATAAAAGGTGTCCAGTTCAATGCATGCAAAATTGGTGGTTATAGCATGACATGCTTTTACCAGACCACTTGAATATATATTATATTATCTTTTAGGCAAAATTTGTTCGTGAAAACTGATCTCGGGCGTTGATATAAATAATCATTTGTCTCTAACCGCTAATTAAGACATCTGTGGAATTAGTAGTTGGTTAACTGCGGAGAAACTAGGTAAAACTAGTTAGTTATTCAGATAACCAGTATTAATGTCATTATAATTGATTTTTAGATTGTTCATTTAATTCATTCAAAATAAAGTTATATTATACATGTATATATTTTGTATTCTTGAAACATTAAAGAAAGATATTGCTACTCTATATAATATTTTTGTACTGATTTGTCATTTTTCAGTCATTTGAATTAAGACTTGAATTTTATACACATTTATCTTTTTATGTATTGTAATACATGTGTAAGTTTTCGTATTTTTTAAAGGACATATTCTTTAAGTTCAAGAAATGTTTGTTTCACAACGAGGTGTAATTCTTTTAGCAAGTATTTCATATCTGAGCTCATCTCTGATCTTCATTTTATTCGTCAATAACCATTTAGACAATATTAACGCTGACTTACAAGGTTTTTTTACAATAAATGGACTAAAACTTTTTCTCATTTTGTCAATCGTCTACGAAGTAAGTAGACTATAAATATGTTTCTCTTGACAAGTATGTAATACTTCATAACTGTTAAGTTTTTCCTTAAAGTATCATTTATAACACTTATAGTTTAGGAGCAGTACTTAACCTGTTAAACACGTTATGGTATGCGTAAGGAAAATACAAAAGGAAAAGGCGCATGATTATAGTACGAGGTTCCTTATTGTGTGAAATGATTTTTCTTTATGGAAGCAAATGTGGCCAACATTCACATTACAAGTTTACATTACCTACAACGCAAATCTTTTTAAGTTTATATGTAAAACAAGATTCATTTAGGCATAATCAAAATAATGACTTTATTTCTATGCTATAACATACCATAGCAGAGAATTCCGCAATGATCGATCTTATGGTAAATGTTCCAATCTCTTGTCCCTTTTTGGTTTGATATCTTAAATATGTATTGCAATGTCGCCGTCAATTCATAGCTTTTACCAGCCTTACAAGAAAACCATAGTATGTCATATTGTGCTTTTACCGAATATGAAAAATGAGAATTTAGCCAGTGTAAGACGATTTAAAGCAAGAACTTATGTTAAATATCAAATAATGTCGCAAAACATTTTTGTCCCCCAAGGTACACCATATATTTGACTTTGGTAGTCTTAAGAGTCTGCTTTATATATAAAGTGCTTGTCCATGGTATTGAAACAAGTTTGGGTAAATGAAAGAACTTAGTGTAACAAAAGGCGCAATACTAAGAAAATGTCTAAATTTCTTAGTTTAAGTATTGGACTTTTATTTTCATGGATTTGTCAGGTAAGATGTGCAGAGTCGGAATTAAGTGCTAAAGTAGTGTATGAACTGTTGTCATTAAGAATAGACAATGTTGTTCGTGAAAACAATAATCTAAAATCTGAGCTGAAGGAAACCAAGGCAGTTGTTTATAAACTCGAGAATAAAATCGAGAGAATGGAAGCAAACATTTCATTTACAGCAAGTAGAGTGACAAGTTATGAGGAAGAAAATTCAACAACTTTATTAAATGAAAAGATCCAGGCTTTTGAAGATTTATCTGCGACTCGACTTCAAAAGCAATTTAAGACAGAAGCAATTTTATTGCGGAAAATGCTAGTTAACGAGAAGTCACACATGAAAGATAAATTGATGGCATTTGAACAAAAGTTTAACAGCTTTCAGTCGGATCTCGTAAATAATTTAAATGAAATGAATACCTCAATAGAAACCACTGTTGACAATTTAGAAAAAACAATTTACGAACATAACATAACAACAATTACTAGACTAGTGTCAATTGAGGATAAACTTCAAAGTCAACTAAATGAAACAGACCTTCTCATACAAGAAATGAATGAAGACTTCCAGCATAAACTAACAGAATCGGACGCTAGAATAGAAGAAGGGAACATAAAATTATCTGAGAATATAAATGAAGTTGACCAGCGTCTAACCGCTGCAAAGACGAATTTGCAAAGTACATACAGTGGTCTAAACAACCGGCTGTATAGCGCTGAGTCAGTCTCGTCAAGTTTGCAAAGTACATACAGTGGTTTAAACAGCCGGCTCAATAGCGCTGAGAGTAAACTTCGATCAGTCTCTTCACTGCAAGGTAAAAACAATTCTCAATGTATGTTATACTTTCATACAATTAGAAGCGCAAGCAAGCAATTTTATATTAAATTTCACCCAACAGAACTTCTGCATAAGTGTTGATTTGCTAAATGCAATCTGTTAACTAATATTTTGTTGTTGTTGTTGTTGTTCGTTCTGTTTTCGGCATTAGCGCAACATTGTTTACCTTCAAACAATTCTGATATTTCAGCTTCATGACATTACATTATGAGACAGATAATACTCGTGTCTTGTTCAATGTTGCTGATGATACATCAAAAACTTTTTGTCATATTTCATTTCTACTGGCATAAAATTATCTACCATCTCCTAAATGAAAAAAAGAAATTACATTCCACGCAAGTTTTCAACGAAATTCAAATTAGATTAATCAATATTGCTTGTATTTCTGTAAAAAAAAAATATCTGACAATTATTAAGTAGCTACTTAGTATCTGATGAGTTTGATATACAAATAGTAATATATAAGAAACATGTAAATATATAAAATTGATCATTATCATTACAGACAGACAGGAAAACACATTTTCTGGTCAAATTAGTGCTTTAAGCAGACGAATCTCTGAAGAAGAAGGTAAGTCTTAGGAACACAAGTGCGTATGTTTTTAAATGGCACTATGCGTTCTTAAAAAATATATACTTTAACATGACATCTTCATGTATAAGCGGTCCATATTTCAAAATGCCTTACATCGTACATATGTTTTTATAAAAAAGTCAAACCGAATAGGCTTGTTCAAGCGTAGAAAATACAACAATATTAAGTTTTGTGAAATATTTTCTATTTTAAAGGCTTAAAATATTAATGAGGTGGGGTTAGAGTTATTAAAGTATTTTTGTTTTAACATTGAGCAAATATATATTCTCAGATATCAAAAACGATATATTTTAACATTCAAACTTTTGTATTATAGTCCTATCATAAAATAGAAGAACCGTGCTTCACACAACGGTAAAATGGGTCGCTTTCTTTATTAGTAGTTAAACATTATACTGGATTCTATCTAATGATATAATTACAACAAAAATTTCATTCACTATTTATAAACATTTGATACTTTTTCAATCTAAATTATATGATATCAAAACCAAATATTCTTTTATAAGTCTTTGCTCAATAAAATTATTTGATTCCATTTCAGGAAGAAAGGTTGCATTTTCAGCTAGGATGAGTAAGGCAGATAGTTATTATGTCAAGGACGAAAGATTAAAGTTTAATGATGTTAAATATAGTTACGGCGGAGGATATAGCTTCTCGACGGGGATATTTACAGCGCCAAAATCAGGAACTTATTTGTTTACTTATAATATAGAATCATCAAGTAAAGGTAAAGCCCATGTGTGTTTAATGATAGACGGTAGTATGAAAACTCAAGCTTTGGTAGGGAAAGGTCCAGATAATAATGGTGGAAACTCTGCGATAGCTTATATTCGGAAAGGTGGTAAGGTATGGATAGAGACTGCTGATTTACAGGATAAGTATTACATCTGGCCTTACAGGACAACCTTTAATGGTATCTTGATTGACTAAAATAAAGTATCATGAATTGCCATATAAGCATTATACAGCATTATCAAACGTAAAATGATTATAGATTGCTTCTGACTAAAGTTCTTATCCTCTTTTGTTTTATTTCAAGCATAGCGGGAGCTGATTTTAATCACATTGTTATTATAGATTTGAATTCACACTGCAAAGTCTCGGTCATTGTTTAATTATATGATTTTTGTTCAAGTTAAACCCTTTGAAAACCAATTTGTTGTTATATTTAGAAGTAAAAAAACATACAAATATTAGTTTTGGCCGTCTTGAATGTGAGCAAAGTAATTCTTATTCTTATAAGTAATGTTTCACGCAGATTTAATTTAAATAAGTTAAGATTATATTTGTCCAATGAAATCTTTCCATATTACCAAATTCTAATATATCTAATTTATTTTAACAGCACAAACTTGTCACTGGACACTATCCCGTTAATGCGCCATACTCGCACTGCTTAAAGATTCAAATATTAATCTATACTTTGCCAGGATATTGTAAATAATTAGTCAAATATATTGCCGAGTTCATACAATTATTATTCTCATTAATTATTTATTAAAGTTTTGCATTATTCAAAACTGTATAAAATCGGTTTTTCCTTTCATGAATTTTTCTCTTTTGGTATAGATCTAAATGAAGCAATTATTTAAATAAATATTGGCAGCTTTATATTAATTATATCTTCTGTTAAGAAGATGCGACTTATTTTCAGCATAATTTGCCATCCATTCTTCATTATTTTTAAGAAATCAATAAAATGTGTTTCCTACTTTAAAAGCTTTAGTTTCGATTTCGATAAAGCTATATTAAGGATAAATGCTAACAATCATTTTAAGGATATACTAGTAGTTGTAATTTTTACTTTTCATTTTTTGTTGTTAGATAAAAGATAGATCAATGAAAGGACATGTGTGAATTTATTTTTTACCATAGAATGAAAAACTTAATCATATCAATTATATATCAAACAAGCAATTGAGATTCCACTATATATGATTTATGTTTCTGTTATCATATATTTTTGCTATGTTATTGCATAATACTTAAATTTTATTATACTTATATTGTTACTCTGTAAATACTGTTATGCTTTTCATCTTTGGAGGAATAAAGGTATCTATCTATCTCTATTGTGTATGCTTTTATATTATTTCGATTTGCATTATTTTAGCTACATTTAAGTAAAATATGACATTTTCACATACATTTTGTCTTTGTTTTCATTTGCAAGGCTGCTATATAAAATAAACTCCACCAAAAATGACATCATTATAATATTGATGACTTTTCTTGAAAGAGGTATATTCATATGGAAGGTAGCATTATACCTCACGTGATATCCTTATGTGACGTCAGAGAGTTATTAAATCTGTAAAATCGTGTATACCAGCACTGGCTGGCGAATTAGCGTAGACGCCAATAAAGTTTGTTCATACAATACACACCGGCTCCCTGATTTGCTCTTACTCTTAATACCATATTTCGCAGTCCGGTTGTTACACAGGTTCTCCTGTTCGTTCGTTCACACAATTGTTCCCAAGCTTGTTTGTAAAAAAATGTCTTCTACACCATTAGCGCAAAACATGAATATGCTATCGTGACAGTGAATGTAAATATGTCACCTGTAATATAGAGGCTGTAGCAATTAAAAAGGAAAAAATCCCCGCTTCGTAGGTTTCAAACTCACCTCCATTGTTACGTAGGTATTTGCGTGTCTTTGCGAGCGTGCGTACGTACGAATTTCGGGTTTTCTAACATGTATTTGTATTTTTTTAATGACATATTCCTTAAATACGTTAAATATTCATTCTCCGCCAGATAACACTTAATTTTTCCGATAAATATGTGATTAACTAATTTGTAACCGGTAAATTACTTACTTAAGGGCATTGTAATGTATCTTTTCAAGTTTAAATGTTTAATATGTAATTCCAAAAATATAACCTAGTTTTATGACGCGTTAAAATAAGTGACTAAATAGTTTAATACTGAACTATCTAACCACATAATCATCAGGTGAAATTAAGTGATTATCTTGTGGCAAATATATGCCACCATATTATTTTATTCATTTTCATAAAAGTTTTTAAAAATCTTTTGCGTGATACTTTATTGTAGAAGTTTCATTAATGAATGATTGTGGCATATATCTGCTTTTATATAACAACTTAAATTATTCGTTAATTATGTGTTTAACTTGTTATTATGTCGCGAAACTGTTCTTGTCCCAAAGGTACACCATATTTGAACTTGGTAGTCATGAGAATATGTTTTATATAAACGAGCTTGTCACTGGTTAAAACTAGTTTGGGTTAAATTATAGAAGTTTAAATATCAAAAAACGTGCAGTATTCAGAAGATGTCTATTTTTTTTAGTATAAGTATTGGTCTTTTATTATCATGGTTTTGTCAGATAAGAAGTGTGGAGGCGGAATTAAGTGCTAACGTAGTATATGAACTATTGTCAACGCGAATAGACAATGTTATTCGTGAAAACAATAATCTAAAATCTGAGCTTAAGGAAACTAAAGCAGATCTTCAAAAGCAAATAAAGACAGAAGCAAAATTATTGCGGAAAATGCTAGATGATGAGAATGCACATATGAAAGAAACAAGAATGGCATGTGAACAAAAATTCAATAGCTTCCAATTGGAACTCTTAAATGATTTAAATGCAATGAATATCTCAATACAAACAACTGTTGGCAAATTAGAAAAAATCAATTTCCGAACAAATACATGTATGGCAGTAATCACAATGCTACAGGCAGTTGAGAACAAACTTCGTTCAGTATCGACAAAGCAAGGTAAAGTTTATTTTTATACTTAATTCTTTTTTATACTTAAATACAATTTGGTGCCAATTATTTTTTACAAAAATAAACTTCTGCATAAGTGTTGGTTTGCTGAATGCAATATGTCAACTGGATTTATGTTGTGTTTTGTTCTGTTTTGGAATCAGCGTAACATCCTGTTATTTCTCAAAAATTATTTTTGCCATATTTCATGTTTACTGACTTGACAATTACCTAACAACCTATCAATGAGCTTGATATACACCTGGTAGTAATATATAAGAAACATGTAAATATATATTGATATTCATAATCATTACAGACAGACAGGAAGACACATTTTTTAATCAAATCAGTGCTTTAAGCAGACGAATCTCTGTGGAAGAAGGTAAGTCCTATGAACACAAGTGTGTATGTTTTTAAATGGCAATATGCTTTTTATAGAAGTTTATATTCAAACTTGACATCTTCACGAATAAGTGGTCTTTAAGTGTCTATAAGTGCATAACATCGTACATATGTTTTAATAAAAAAAGCCAAAGTTCACCAAATCGATCCCAAATATGCTTGTTCATGCGTAGAAAAAACAATATAAAAATTTGAGAAATATTTTCTAATTTCAAGACTTAGAAGCTGAATGAAGTGGGGTAAAGTTATTAAAGTTTTTTGTTTCAACACTGAACAAATATATATATATATATTCTTAGACATCTAAAACGATATATTTTAACATCCAAACTTTTATATTATAATCTTATCATAAAAGAGAAGAACCGTGCTTCACACAACGGTAAAATGGGCTGATTTGTTTTTTGCAGTTACACATTATTACTACATTAGTATTACTTGATTCTATCTAATGATTTAATTACAAGAAAAAAAAACAATCACTATTAACAAACATTTTATACTTTTTGAATATAAATTATATAATATCAAAACCAAATATTACTATTTCTCTCCTTGCTCAATAAGAATTATTTGATTCTATTTCAGCCAGAAAGGTTGCATTTTCAGCTAGACTCACGAAGAAACAAAGCTATTATGGCAAAAGCGAAAGAATAGTGTTTGATGAAGTTATATATAGTTACGGCGGAGGATACAGCTCCTCAACGGGGATATTTACAGCGCCAAAGTCAGGAACTTATTTGTTTACGTATAATATACAATCATCACATTTAGGTGTAGCCCACGTGATTTTAATCATAGATGGTACTATGACAACTCGAGCTTTGGTAGAAAAAGGCAGATATCATACTGGCGGAAACGTAGGGATTGGTTATGTTTGGAAAGGTGAAAAGGTTTGGTTACAGACTTCTAACATTGAGGATAAGTATTACATCTGGCCTTACAGGACAACCTTTAATGGTATCTTGATTGACTAAAATAAAGTACCATGAATTGCCATATAAGCATTATACAGCATGATCAAACGTAAAATGATTTTAATTTCCTTCTGACTTACTTTCTTATCCTCTTTTGTTTTATTTCAAGCATAGCGGGAGCTGATTTTTAATTACATTGTTATTATAGATTTGAATTCACACTGCAAAGTCTCGGTCATTGTTTAATTATATGATTTTTGTTCAAGTTAAACCCTTTGAAAACCAATTTGTTGTTATATTTAGATGTAATAAAAAACATACAAATATCAGTTTTGGCCGTCTTGAATGTGAGTAAAGTAATTCTTACTCTTATAAGTAATGTTTCACGCAGATTTAATTAACATTAGTGGTTAAAATTATATTTGTCCAATGAAATCTTTCCATATTACCAAATTCTAATACATCTTATTCATTTTAACAGCACGAACTTGTCACTGGACACTATCCCGTTAAATACGCCATACTCGCACTGCTTAAAGATTCATATCCAGGATATTGTAAATAATTAGTCAAATATATTGTCGAGTTCATACAATTATTATTCTCATGAATTATTTTATAAAGTTTTGCATTATTCAAAACTGTATAAAATCGGTTTTTCCTTTCATGAATTTTTCTTTTTTGTATAAATGAAACAAATATTTATATTTAAAGGTTTATGTCAACTATATCTTTTTGTTCAGAAAGTGACCAAAATTCAGCACAAATTTCCCCAAATCCCCCTTTAAATTTTATTAAAGAAATTAAAAGTTTTCCTACTTTAAAATTTGTTTGATTTTGATAAAGCTAAAATAAAGGGTAAATGCTAACAATCATTTTAAGGATATATTAGTAGTTGTAATTTTTCCTTTTACTTTTTTGTTGTTAGATAAAAGATAGATCCATAAAAGGGCATGTGTGAATTAATTTTTACCATAGAATGAAAAACTTAATCATATCAATTATATATCAAACAAGCAATTGAGATTCCACTATTTTCTGTAATCATATATTTTTGCTAATATATTATGTTATTGCATAATATTTAAATTGTATTATACTTGTATTGTTACTCTGTAAATACTGTTACGCTTTTCATCTTTGGAAGAATAAAAGTATCTATCTATCTCTATTGTGTATGCTTTTTTATAATTCGATTTGCATTATTTTAGCTACATTTAAGTAAAATATGACATTTTCACATACATTTTGTCTTTGTTTTCATTTGCATAGCTTCTATATGAAATAAACTCCACCAAAAATGACATCATTATAATATTGATGACTTTTCTTGAAAGAGGTATATTCATATGGTAGGTAGCATTATACCTCACGTGATATCCTTATGTGACGTCAGAGAGTTATAATCTGTAAAATCGTATACCAGCACTGGCTGGCGAATTAGCGTAGACGCCATAAAAACACATGTAGATTTATAGTGCACTTATTTCACAGACGCCGGCCATTTTTTAACAAATAATTATTGATACCCAATGGCGTCAGATGTTCCACTCCGATCTTCCGTTAGACATTTAGTTTATTGTCTTTGTTTGATAAATGATAAATAAAAAATGCTTTACAGTAATGTGTCATTGCTTTATAACTCTTTGACCCGCTGTGGTAAATGAGCTTTAAAAATAAGCAAAATGCACACACTGTTGTTATTCGTATTTATTACCCCTCACATTTTTCGTAATGCTAATTTCCTATAGGCCTCTGGGAGTTATTTTTACTGTTAATGCAAGTGTACCACGTGACTAAGAATTTTGTACTGTTACATAGGTAACAGTATTTTTTAAGAGGTCACGTGGTCTATTTTCTAAATAAAATAAAATAAAATGGCCGCCATTTTGTTCTCGATTCATTCTTATTTTCAACGTTAAACCCCAATAGGACATCAATTTCTCCTCTGGAGTCCCTATGACACTCATAAAATTTAGTTGTTTGCACCCTGGTGTGCTTTTCGCGTATAAAATATCTTTTTGCTGAATAGTCAAAAAGTGAACATCCGTTTTCAACGGAAGTAATTGCAAAGTAAATAATTATGTGTCAAACTGGAACATGCAGACGATTTAAGCATGCAACAAAGGATTATTTATCAAATTTAATCAGTGAAACGTTACAGATATGGTGGACATAGGATATCAACGTTATTTTGTCAAAAACCATGCTAAGAATATTCTGGAAACAGAAGGTACATATTTCACAGATCATAACCGTGTAAATGGGTTAGTGTTTTGTTTCCTAAATAAAACCTAGCTTATTGTATGCTTATGATTTGTAGATATCATCACTTGCTTAAAGAATAAAAGAAAAAGAAAACTTCTCAAGTAGGCCTACAGTAAAGTACACTTAAAACTTAAAAGGTAAGGACAGTTTTGTTATTGTTACTCTTGGTTTATTTTTGTTACAGTTAGATTTATTTGACAATTTCAGATCATCTCAGTATTTTTGTTCGGGGTAATAAAATAAATAACACATGGGTTTGTGAGTAACAGTAAAAATATCATCCCTCGTAAAAATACTGTTACCGTCGTCTACGCCTCGGGTAACAGTATTTTCCTCGGGATGATATTTTTACTGTTACCAACAAACCCATGTGTTATTTATATAATGTTATGAAAATCGTGTCAATTAATAGTTTTTTATTTTCGGCCTTAAAGAAGCTATTTCGATGTAATTTGATATAATTTATAAAAGAGTATTGTGTAACAAGTCAACATCACATGCCGGCTCACGAAGCATGCTTTACTGTTCTGATCAGGGGAAAGAACCATTGTCATGGTTTGTTCCACACGACCCTATCGGTTATTGTTCTTTTCATGTTTAACAAAAATAAAACAAAACGTGTTTAACTGTTGTTGTTGTTTTGGGTTATGTTATGTATTGTTTTGTTTTAATTGTCGTTTTGTGTGTGTGCGCGCGTACGCGCGCGCGTTTGTGTAAATGCATGTGCGCTCGTGCGTGTGTTCGTGCGTTTTGTTGTTGTTAATTGTTTGGGGGGTGCTGATTGTTAGGCTACCGCGAAAATGCTACACCAATTAGAAAGAAATTATCTTAATCACAAAAATGATAAAAATGTTGAAATTCACGAACTCAAATGTTAAATGTCACTCTATTTGTTTTCGCCTTTTATTTCATGAAGAATATATACTGCAGTAAATGAAGAATTTTTATCGATATCCAATGTATTGTCTTATCTGCAAATAATGTAACCATTCACATCTGCAAAAAGTATTTATTCAAATCTTTAAAGTCACTTGAACTAAATTATTAGTATAGTTGGCATTAACGAAATGTTAACATTTACGCATAAACGTATAAATCAGACTGATGTTTCTTTATGAAATTGATTATACATTAAATTAAAATGAATATTTTACAGAAAAAATATGACAATAAAACAAACTTTTCAAAAATTGACTTATCAAACTGTAATTATCGAAGGAACAATAATTAAGACATGAAAAATACTTAAGAGTTTTTTCTCGTATGTGAAGTTTTGACAAGTTAAGATGTATATTTTCAACTTTGCAGCTTGCACTATTTATTTTTTATCAATCATCACTAGCTCCTGTCATAATAATATTTGAGTATCAGCCATCACTAGATGGTGCCATGATAATATAAGAGTATCAATCCCCACTAGCTCTTGCCATAATAATATCAAAGTATTTAGGATAACCGATTATTATGGCATTGCTGTTCTTGTATATAGATTATATGTTAAATCATGACTTTAACTTAATTATATGTATCACAAAATGTTTTCAATGTCTGTGAATATCTATTTTATATGAAATTTAAGAAATATTACACCTAGAGCAGTTTACACTTTTCATTTTCATTATACATATAAATAACCTTTAAATAAGTATTTACAATGAAGGTAAACTTTAGAGGCTGATCCAAGATTTCCGTTTAAGAGAAAGTGAAGTCAGGAACTGCGTTGCTGTGAGTGAGGGTAGGTAGGATAGGGGGTCTTCCCTGACATTGTTCAGTATCGGAGAGCTCCTCCTTTAAGGTTTGCATAATAAAAGTAAAACATACGTTCTTGAGTATTTGGAGGTTATATATTGCATTCAGACACTTAACTGTGTTTCTATTAGCTTGTACGAGATCAATTTTCTGAGTCTGTGTTGTCAATATCCCCCAAATTATTTCCATTTTTATCAGCATCAAATGATAAAACGTGTAAAGTTATTATCAAATCTATAGTACCACTTTTGGTCCATGGTATATACAAATACATGTATTATATTTTTGGTGTTTGTGTGGCTGGAAACCGAGGAGGGAGGGTTGATAAGTCAATTCTAAATATTTGGAACCAATACTTTTACACAAGTATTAAAGGACGGACGTTGATGAAAGTATTTTTGCATTAACTGGTCCTATAAAATGAATCTGGAAGAAAATTGTATATGTTCCCATCAAACAAAAATCACACTGGGAATATATAAATATCTGGAAAAAAGTGATCCCGAAGGCCGCTTTATTTTTCTAAAAAAGAATATTTAACCAACGTACAATTATTGAGAGTTCTGAAAATATTCAAAGTTTTGTAGCAGTTGTGAATGCCTGATTTCAAATTTTCGACATTTTTAAAGAGCAACGTTTCAGAGTACACTATGAAAAGCAATATAATTAAGGAGGGGCGAGATTCAATGAACGCATCCCCAAGAACACTTGCCCGTTAAACACGCGATGATATGGTATATTCGAATGAAAATTACAGGAAATGAATATAGTGAGACATTTAGCAAGGGAAATTCCTTTTTTGTATGAAATATTTTTGGTTCTCTATAAAAGCAAATACGAACACCTATACTAAGAAACATGAAAGCATAATTTCGAGGAGACTTTTTCATAGAATAGCGGATGAGTCACTCGGTGAGCACTACAATAATGTTGGTTTGAATATTCAATTTAAAATCCTACAAAGACTTTGAATTCTGCAACGTGATGAGGTAATCTAGAAAGTTTACGGCTGCTTAACTCACACGCTCAGTATCGTTTTACTGAGATGACTTGAGGTCTTTTCCAACCAATCAAATGTAAGTAACCATATATCTATTACGTATCGTAATGTATAAGAAAAACGTATCAACACTGGATATTGTTTTCAAGAAATAATGTTAATATCTACCTATTTGATTTCAACTTCAGCCATGTAGTTTCACCAATTTAGAACTTCTTTCAGGTTCGTAAGAAAACCACATTACTTCATATCGTGCCTTAACTAACCAATGCAGAAAAACGTCCACGTTAGAATAAATATGTTCATCATTTAGCGAATTTGTAACACAACTAAAGATACCACAGCATAAGATCTAAGAATGGTTTTAAATAACAAATCACGTTTATGTTCAAAATACACATAGATTTAAATAATAACAAATAATTACATGTAAAATTATCAATCGTTGTTCAAATTTGAATTCTTCTAATTCCCCTTTTAAATGACATATTTTGACAGCCATACAAACCATCACATACTGCAAGTGCAGGAAAATGATTTTTTTTTAATATTTAAAAAATTGATTTGCAAATGCTTTTTCTTTTAAATTTAATGTCTAATTTTTTTTGCTACTTTACTTTTGTATCCATCTTAACATTTGTAATTGCTCAAGTGTATAGTGTTTAAATATGTTTTCGTTTCTATATCTTATTATAGTTAAGGGAATGACAGTTACTAATATTGCTTGAACTTGTTGTTCAACACTTTTGCGCTTTGTTAAAATGTTGTTTTGTGAAAATAATGCGCTTAAATTGTATTCAAAGAGCAATAAAATATTATTAAACGTTCATTAATTGTCACTCAGGTACACTATATATTTATTCGTGGCGATCAGAACAATTTGTATAAGATACAAACACCGCATGGGTCATTCCACTTGGGTCATTCATTCATTGTATTTTTATTTTCATGGTTTTGTCAAATAAGAGTGACAGAGACGGACTTTAGTAAATACATTAACATGGACATTTAAAACGGGAAAATATGAACAAAAATAAATAAAAAAAATACTTTGAATTAGATTTACAATATCAATAATAAGTGCGATATTTTGCAGTATTTAAATGGTTTGTTTGTTTGCGTTTTTTTGTTGTTTTTTTTTTTTTCATTATAGGGTAATTTTACACAATACTTTTAAAAATAATCAGAGTGAACAAATTTTGTACACAAGCTTTTGGTGTAGACATCTGGAAACAAAGTGATCCCTCGGAAGCATTTATCACTACAAAATTACATGAAAAATTGCAGACTACATCAAACGGTATAAAATCCCGGACGATGCTTTCATTCCTTAATGTTAAAAATCCTCAGTGTCCGTTAGTCATTGAATAACTTCACATCAAATATTCTTCTTCTGCATGCATTACTTTGTGATAAAGCCATGGTACTCGTGTGTATCACTCAACGCCGATGTTTATTTACACTTGAAAATATCTTCTGTTTTTCACACTCCATTTTACACTAACATAACAAAAAAACAAAAGTTCATTCCAAAAGACAAAACATCACCTATGTAGACATTTTAACCAAAATTTCAATGAAATTCTTATTTGGAAAGTTGTGCTATGACTGTATAATAAAAAGAGTATGATATGTGTGATATTATAATGTAGTAGTAATAGATATAAAGCGTATAAATAGAAAGATAATTCTATTCATTGATTAGATCAGTGCTCTAGACAGAAGGATTGAAGACAAAAAAGGTAAGTTCGGAAGGGAATTGTTATTTTACAAGTGTATTTATTTGTTTTCAAATCGCAAAACGGAAACGATCCTTTAATTTGTATCGATATTTTAACATAACATAACATAACATGATTATGTATAAGCATTGGCAGTCCATGTCTAGATAAATCAAATCTGTCTGACTATGGCTACTGTCGCGATAGCTCAAGGGGTTATACAACTGACTGTCACTCCTGGGATTCCGGCTTCGATCCTGGGTAACATCTTTGGGATTTGTTCAGTGTTTCCCACCTACCTAGAGGTATACTGTTAAGAAACCTAGGTAATCCTCGCATGTATCAATGGTATACAGAGATAGGTACATGTAAAAGAACCATGTTGTCTATTTAATAAGAGCTAGGGACTTTTTCCCGGACAACCTTGTATCTCATAGCTATCTCAGAATTTTGCTGAGGTAAGGATCCTACTGGAAATAAGTGCTTGCACTTCGTAGATTAACCTTGACAGCCCAGTTTAAAGAAAATTAATCAGTTTTCAAGAAATATAATGCATTAACTTCAGCACTTATAGACATGCAGCGGTGCGTACTTGGATACATGACTAGCGACACATGCCACTTATGTGGACCGTTGTCGCTTAATAATCCGAAAAAAGTATTTAAAATATTTTTTAATGAATGATTATTTATAAGATGTGTGTGCATGCGCCGTTGTAACATTCCGTATACACTACATTTAGTTCCGATTGAGAACATGTAAATAGCCTGTGTTGGCAAGGATGGATGTATCTTGAAGTCTTTGCACAATCGTAAGCTTCTCATGATGTATTTTTTAAAAGTCCAATTATACCATAATATTCGTTGCTTGATTTTATCTTCGCATTTTTAGAGACACGTTCTTAGCCTTGATTTAAGTACATTAAGTTGACATCTATGTATAATTATAATAACTTGTACGTGTCGTAAAATATAATTTTTAAGTAGTTTTGTTGTTATTTGTTTTTCAAAGTATTATAATATCAAATGTTCTCTTTTTTCCTGTCATTGGTCTAATAATTCAAAATTAACATTTTTATTTCAGAAAGAAGGTTGCATTCTCAGCTAAACAAAGCTATTGTAAAAGAACGAAAGAAATAGCGTTTGATGAAGTTATAATATTATATAGTTACGGTAGATGATACGTCGGTGATATTTACAGCGCCAAAATTAGGAATTTACTTGTTTATATTTTGAAGCAGCAGGTTCAAGTAAAGTCCGGTGTCATTAATGATAGATTGTTGTATCACAACTCGAGCTATTGCAAGAAAAGATTACGACATTATTGTTTGAAACTCAGGGATATGTTATATTAGGATATGTGAAAAGGTTTGGGTAAAGAGATTGCTTTATTTTTTATTACATATGGTCTTACAGGACAACATTTATATTGATTGTCTGAAGTAATGATGTCAAATAAGAAGTACCATACACGATTTCTGCCATATGGCAATTTTACAATATGACAACATAGTTCATGATACAATATTTGATTTGGCACAGAAAAGTCTCAGTTTGTTTGTTTTGGGTTTTACGTCACATCGACACAGTATAGGTCATATCGCGACGTTCCAGCTTTACTGGTGGAGGAAGACCTCAGGTGCCCTTCCGTGCATTATTTCAGGCACGAACGGGCACCTGAGTAGAACCACCGAAGTTCCGTAAGCTAGCTGGATAGCTTCCTCACATGAAAGAATCCATGTCCCTGTCGGGATTCGAACCCACAGCGGTGAGGGGCAAGTGATTTGAAGTCAACGACCTTAACCACTCGGTCACGGACGCCCCTAAAAGTCTCAGATATTGTTCAGTTGTTATAAATCTGTCAACTGAGTGAAACCATTTGCAATGTAAATTGTGGTGGTGTTTTTTTTCTTCTTTGTTTTAATGTAAAACAATATGTGAATATTGATTATGTTTAATTATGACTGCACCGAAATGGAGCAATGTATATTCAATTTTATTCTATAACAGACAACGAAAATTGCACAAAATTTTGCACGAAAATTGCACAAAGTCATGTCTAATCAGATTTCATGGCAATAAAATATTTAGAATTTCCCACCAAATTTGAAGATTTAATTTTTTTATCAATTGTGATAATATAATCATCTGGATCAATTTAATGTTTACCCTTGAGTTTATATTTCTAAGTATACTTTTCGTTGATTTCAAAATGTCAGTTCTTGAAACTTATATTAATCACTTTCCAGTCCGCGTCCTGGAACCAACCAGTACTGGTGTCCTATGAAGAAACATGGTTGTGACCCGATTAAGGCTCGAACCTATGATTCCTGGGTTGAGAAGCAGACAACTTAACCACTATGGTACTGCTCCCCATAATATAGATTGCATGCATATTGCAATCATTCAAATGTTATGTCAAGGTCGGTAACTGCTATTTAAACACGCTTATGTAGCCAAAACGAAAATTGACTCACTATGGCATGACGCTGATGTCACAAGAAGTCTTCCTCAAGCTAAGAACACTGAAGTAGCTAGGCAATAAAAACCTCATAGTCATAATAAATAATGCTGACACATTATGCCTAAGAAATAAACATTCATTTCTCTCTGTAGAAAGGCCAAATATGTCTTTTATAATGTTAAAATAAAGGATCTAGAACATGTGAGAAGATTATCAAAAGAAACAAATAGCTTTGAATTTGAAGAACACAAAAGAAAAGTATACCAAAATGTAAATAAAGTGATATGTTGACTTTCATATAAAAATTAATCACTTCTTCCTAACTCCTGCCCCGAACTGGACCAAGAGCCCAAGAAACTTCAGGTCAGCAAATCAAGAAACCATTTTATTTTGAAATTGCCAAAACAAAAAATGTAAGAAATATATTATTTGTGATTTAATTGTATAGTCGTTAACATTACTCAGAAACGTAAATATATATCGTTGCAAGTTTTTTTCTCACTCCAATATGTGCTTTAGTATCAAATCAGCAAATAGTGTTACCAGTCGCATCTGAAATAAAATGGAGTTAACATTAATGCTTAATTTAAATGTTCAACAGAGATAAATAAATAAAACTAACATTTCAAAAAAGATGTACATAGATTTGATAATTAAATTGGGGATAATCTTAGAGTTTTGTTCATATGCGGGGTTCTAGAGTGTTAAAATCATAAAATATATTTCTTTGTAGCAAGGACAATTTGTTTTTCTTTATAAATAACCACTTGGTCATACCAGTAGTAAAGGTAGATATATTTTAATAAACTTGGTCATTCATTGCTACGGAGAATGAGTTCGATTGTCTTGATTGCTTGATAATAGAAAAGTATAATCAGAGGAAGAAAAGGACATGTTTATGTCAAAATCAATTTCGCAGATCTACACGTATGTTCTTATCTAAAAATGGCTGTGGTTCATCAACAAATATTTCATGATTTCTTTTTTCAAACACCAAAACGTAAAAAGTTTAGATGCAAATATAAAACAAACAAACCTACATTAAATATCCGTAATTAATTCAATGAGGAATTCGACTTGTATCAGAGGAAATGACACACCATACCTTTTAAGACTAAACTAGTTTCATCTGCAGAATGTTTACCAGCGCCATCTGGAACACAGCGGTAAGTGCCGGCGTTGTCACATTGCGTTGATGCTAAAACTAGCATCAGTTGACCACTGTTTCCGGTAATATAGCTTAATTCCGTTATTCTATTAAATCCGGTGTTAGTCTCTCCGTTCAGGAAGCTCGATATTATGGTACTGTTATCCTTGTAAATGACGATATCTGTCAAACCATCAAAGTCTTTAACTTTACAGATTAGGGTTACAGAATCTCCTATCTGTATTTGATCAACAAAGTTGTCAATGTATATGTCTGGAAATATATTTCAGAAAATGACACCTAGTGCTGATTGAACTCTTTATTTTCGTGTACTTATTCAATCGAATAATAATTATAAATAAAATTACCTACCTTCTTACAGATAATCACAATGAGAGTAAAATTCCACAAAAGTAAAGACGCGCCCAAAGAAAGCCGCCCATGTACATGTATATACGCAACTTAAATAAATTGTTTCAACTATATAATTATGGTGATTACGTGTCAAGTAATAAAGTTTAAAAAATAATTTGATTACTGTTTGGGACAATTCAAGTTTGCAGTTAAAATTTATTCAATTATTATAAACTTGCTTTTTCAATATTTCTTTGATAATGTTATAAAAACACTTATATAACTAACCTCTTCAATGTATTAAAGGGACTCCACTGAGGTTTTTTGACATGATGGGACTGAAAATATTATTCCAGATAATTCTACCATTTGTTGCAGGTTTAGACCACAAACCTTTGTGCAAAATTTCAGATCATTCGCGCAGTTCGTTTTTTCCAGGATAATTATTCAACTTGTAAAAAATGACCCAAAATGAAAAGCGTTTAAATACTTTTCACTCAAAACCGTAAAAATACGATTTTCAATTTATTTCTTAGTATATTTCTTAACTATTTTTGCATATATTTCTGTTTAAAGTGCCCCAGTTCATTTATGTAAGAAATTCAAATGTTATGTTTTTAGGCTTTTAAACCTCAGTGGAGTCCATTTAAGAAGCTTTTGTATAAATTTGTAACATAATCCTTTAAATATACATGATCAATTTTTTATACGAAAACTGAAGCCACATATTATATAAGTCTTTAAATTCCTAGAATTACCTGTCACGGAACATCCGCCTATCGTTTTACAAGGATAACACGTCGTCTCATGAAAGCAATTACCTTGCCCACAACCTGCCGGCACACCCGACACATCCCCGCTGTGGCACCCGACAAACATATTACAATGATAGGGGTGTCTTAGGACTCCAGTATAGACCTGGTTTTGAGTGCAATAGTTTTCTAAAGAAAATTTAATATACAGGTAAATATAAACAAAGGGAATCAACATTAAATAAATGCAATATCAACACCCTAACAGAACATCAAATTACTAAGGCACAGCGTAACGACACACGGCGGGGCACTGCAAAAGGAATTGGGCAACGAAAGGGCATAAATGGACAGATGTAAAATAAAAATAATATAAATATCATAATAAGTTAAAATTAAGAAAAACAGAATCTCTAAAGAAAGTGCAACATGACAAAATTGAAAATGTTGCAGGTTCGGTTTGAATAAGCCTGTTCACAGACGGTACTGGAAAGTGCAAGTTACCATCCACGCCCCCTAGCACCGGCATAAGCAGAACTCAAAGTTTAAGCCCTTATTACAGCATCTTTCTTCTTAAAAATATACTATACTCAAATTTGATATTACAAAATATGGATAATTGTTGCACAGTCTCTTTGTACATAAACAAGTAACATAATTATTTAGACTTCACATAAAGTATAACATTTTGTTTAAAATCCTACACACTATTGGTGGTCACAATATAAATATATAGTGTCATTAAAAATGTTGCTGTGTCTATGGAAGTTACGTTCATTGAACGCCGCCTTTCCTTGTTTAACATATTTTAGGTAAAGGAACAACCCATACATATTTTATTTATTTTTTTTAAACAAATTAGACATATTCATTTATAGATTTCAATAAATTTCTGTGATTCATATAGTTTACTCAGGGATGAGTATAATGCATCTTTAACATATTTTTTAGATCAGGGCTATCATGCTATCATGCATCTATCCATAAACTATAATCACTTGGAAATATATTCCAAACAACCAAACAATTAACTTTTAAATGTTTAATAGGGAAAAATATTAAATGTTCAAACCTGGGATAACCTCTATGACTTGATTAGAAGACTCGGCTGCCTTACCATCCATCAGAGCTTGTGACGGTTTAGATATACATTTCAAAAGTTTGTTGTGATATTTGGCCGTCGCAGTGTTTATTCGAAATTCAATGACTCTCCTAGTACTACATTGTCCATTGTTTTCTGTGATACTTGTTATTGAACCAATTTCGTTCTTGTCATATTCATTGTCTTTCTGTGATAGAAACACTGTAAAGTTTGAGCCCTCGAAGTTACTTTCAATTTCAAGATAACCTTTCGGTGCTCCTATTTCTCCAGTGCATTTGAAGTTTGCAACATATCCGTTCATACCATTATATATGATCTCCAGTGTTGGGATCCCAGGCTGTCCTACAAGATAAAGAAATATGGTATATATTTATCATACCTGGACACAGTGTTGTTGTTGTCGTTGTAGATTGTTTTTTTTTTTGGGGGGGGGGAGAGATTTTTTTCTTTTTCTTGCTTATTTACCCCTTATGAAAATTTTACGTATTATAGAGTACGCCTATCAAGTATATATTAGAAAACAAGCTGTACAGGTGAATATATTATTAAAGTAACGCCTGTTCCGTTAGGTACATTCGGAAACTCTTCTTAAGCTCTGGAGCGTACGAGGAACCTTTGACAGATACACGTTACTTTTTTTGTGTTATATAAGGAAAGGCTGTTTTTGTTTTACAATGTTAAGATATGTCATTAATCTATTCAATAATATATAAATGCCTCTACATTATTTAACAATTGGTAAGAAAACAAAACAAAATGTATATTAGTAATATTTAGAAACAAAAGATGAGCGAAATTTAGTTATTTCCCGCATACAAAACTCGCCATATTTTATCTTGATCTTTTCTTAAAGCTGCATGCCTCCATATCAGCTTACAATATATCAAGTAAATCAAACATGTTGAAGATCAAAGTAATAATTTACATTAATTTTGTTATGCGATTTATTAAACTGTTTTTCGAGTATTTGTCATTTTATATTTCGGCTGCATTATTAACGCAAAAATGTCTCTTTTTGGTAATTTACGTGGATTGTAAGTGCAAGTGTTACTTTAAGTGTTCACTTATCTACATCGAGCTTTCAGATACATTTTTCTAATGTTTCACGAAAAATTAGCATGAATTTCATGACATGCTAAATTAAATTCAAACACCCTTGAATAATAATTGGAATGATTTACATTAATATCAAGCTTTTTGCCAGCATATCTTATCATTTGAAGGTTTGTGTTTTGAAAGAAACTTACTCTGGAACATGATGTCAGTAAGAATTCTGTATCCACGTGTCGTTATTTATCCGCACAGCAACTATATATTCTACTTCGCCAACACTACACAAGCGTCGCTGCAGTTCACCGGTTCAAATGTCAGGTCAAAACTAACTGAGGTAGTTTGTATGTGTATTGGCATCACACGGACATGTTCACCAACAAAGAAATGTTCATCAGGTGTATCTATGTCGATTCCAGCAATAACTTCGCCACCATCTCTGCACATTCTGCGAACCTCTATCAAATTCCAGCCAGTAATTAAATCCAGTGTAACTGATATGGCGGCAGTTTCTCCCGATATCAAAAGCGGAAGATAATGTTGATATGCTGACTGTAATAAAAGAATAGAAAAAGTCCAACTTCTCAGCTCTGATTCCGGAAGAAACAAGCATATATAAATATCTTTCTTTTGTCCTCTATTTCTTAAAATATTATAAAAAATATCTGTTTAAAAAAACGTTTTAGAACTGTCCATCTTGAAATTAAATCAAAATACAAATTCAGAAACAATGTTGATATTTCATGCAATCCCTATTTCTACAGTTTATCTTTCAACTCAATGTGTACAAAAAATAATTGTCATTTTTTTCACAGCTAAATAAATCAATATACCTATTGGTGACACGATATTTAGTTGTTCCTCTGGTGAAGATATTTCTGTTTCATCATGCATGAGAATAACACATCGTAAAAATGCCTCTTGCATGGAAATATCTGGTATCACTAATGACACGATACTTTCTTTTATCCGACAATTTTCAACAAGTGAGTAATTTTTAATCGACGGGAGGATGGTAAAAGATGCGGCATCCTGTAAAATATGGAAAATAAGAATTCCTAAAGAAATCCAAAACTGCAATATTGAAAATGTTGTAGGCTCGATTTTCATGGACGGCATTGTCAAGTGCAAACTACCGTCAACGACCCCTAGCACCGGCTTTAGAAGAATTCAACATAGAAATGTTAAAATTTTGAATATAAACCTTCCGCATATGTGTCCATACGACGGTTATCATGGTGCCATTCCATGAAAAGCAGCGTAAGATCCCCAAATAATAGAAAGCGTTTGCCTTGAACGAGAAAACAATTAGCGAAACTAAATAAAATGGAATTTTGAAAGGGGGTCAGAGGTTATGAAGCCTTCATATCACAGAAAAGACGTCAAGAAGGCCAAAGATAAAAAAATTGCCACAGGCAATGTTATGTTGAAACATTTCAAAATTAAAACAATTTGCCAGTTTAAAACCAATTTTACAGTTTGTAACTCTTAACAAAGGAATTGAAACTATTTACACCTTTTTTTAAAGTTTTCTTAACTAAATAATGTAAATATACTTATTAATACTTTTTCAAACATTCTTAATTTAATATGTTTAGTTCAATTATGCTCATTTCTGACATGAAATTGTATAACCTATTCTAAATCAATTTCATGGCACTGAATCTATATATGGGTACAATGCAATCAACGTTATGCCCAATAAAACTCTAATAACATTTTTAATTGAAATGTACAAGTATTAGAAAAAAAATGGCTAATATGTTAATCTTAAATAATGCCCTGACACAGTAAAATCATAAAGGTTGCATATCGTTTAACCGTACAGGCTATGGTTACTGTAAAACTTGATAAGCAAGGGCGACAAGGAAGGGTGGCATTCGATGAAACGCACCCCAAAACAGGAGAACCAGCAACAAACTATGAACAGACGCCAAATAGGTCAGGACAACTTTGTTAATAAATTATTCAGAATAGGAAAATCATAATTGTAAACCATCCTTCACAGACCCCCTCCCCTGCACCGGTTTACACTATAATTCAACCTTTCAGTTAAATGTATCATACAAATAATATACCTTTATCTAATCTGTATCACCAAGCACCAAGTGCCGTGTCATTATCACTTTTACCAAGTTCACCAGTACATGTTATAGCCGTTTTTCAATATTTTCCATATGGCATACATGTTTCCGGTACGGTTATATTGGGAACACTGGATTTGGTATCTTAAAACAAATATGGTAAACAAATGTCAATTCATCTTGCAATTAAAAGCAATACAGAAGCAATCGTAATGTGTTAGATATTAATAAGATAAAATAGTACGTGGAAGTCTTGGTTAACAGTGATAAGGTTAGTTTAATAATATTTTATAGCATATAAAGATAAACATCAATTCATTTACATCAAAAATTACACACTTAACAAAAGGGTTGGGCCAAAAGGTTTTACAGCATTATCGTGGGCCCTTCCCTGTTTTTAAAGATCTTTGGCAACGGATGGTAAAAATGGTTACAAATTGGGTCAAAATGGAAATGATGCTGGCGTCCCAACACTGCAAAAAAAAAAAAAAATATTGCAAGACTCGGTTAGACGCTGTTAAATAGGCGGTCATGGTAAAAATTCAATGTGCCCGTCTATGCCCAAAAACTCATCGGTTTCAAGCAGAACTCCCAACATTGAAATAAGAAATATTGCGTATAAAAAAGTATTTGTAAAGAAGTAATAAAGAACAAAGAAGATGAACTTTATACAAACCTGTTATATACACGGACGTAATTCGTACTTTTGACTTTAACAGGCCGATGTATAATTCCCAAGGATGTTTCCACAAATATAGACGCCTGAATCATTGCAACGAACTTTGTCAACCTCGAAAACGATTGCAACACCATCGTCCAAGCGCTCGGGTCTCGCGGTAAAAGTACTTGATTTGCTGAAGTTATTGACTTGAATTATTACCTTCTTGTTTGTGACTTCAAACAATGGCTCAATGGATGTACTTTGGGAAACCTGACCTGGCTAGAAAGTAGTGGATTGCCACTCTGATGAATTATGTACAACACATCTAAGAGAGACCGGATCAGAAACATTATAAATTGGCTCGACAGGATCAAAGTCAATGGTTCCTAAAATGAAAAGAAAAATCGACATTGTGATATTCGTGTTACATGTTCGCTTATAGCAAATTATATATACATTCACAGCGCAAACATTACATGTACGAGCCGATACAGGCAAAGTGGTTAAAATAGTTAGGCAAAGTTGAAGTCAACTGGTGCCATAAAAGTAAATCATTGAAACACTGGAAAGGAAAACTCAATGTGATGTTGAATGACAGACTTAAGAAACAATATCAAAATAATTAAAGAATTGAACCTGGTATTTCACATTCTGGACTCCCCTGCCACCTTCCATTCTGGCACGTTACACATCTATCGCTATTTTGGACAAATTCTAAACCAGCTTTACATTGCAAGCATAACGTCGTGGTTGTATACATCAGCTCGTCATTGGTCACCATGTCGTCTAACAGTGTGTAGTTTCCACAAGGATGTTCGCGACATTCAGATGCAGGGGTCCAGTTTCCATCTGCGAAACATGCTACCGTAGTTACGCTATCAACCACGTAAAAGCCGGGATTGCAGATGATATTTGCTTTAAACCCGAACGATTTTCCAGAACCATTTACGACGCCATTATCTATCTGCGGATACGGTCCACATACTATCGGCTTGCAAGATGGGAGTTTGCTCCAGACATCATTTTGGCAAGTTATAGTACTGCTGCCGTTCAGTACAAACCCTCGGTCACAGGTCACTTCTGCTTGACCTGATGCATGACTCTTAAACACTGCGTGTTTTACTTCGGGTAACCTTTCACAAGCTACAAAAGATTTTTTCACTTGAAATTAATAAAGAAGTAAATTTGCTAAAACGCTTCATTACAATATGAATAAAAATTATATCTTTTAGCGTCATCGGATGTTTGTTGTTTATTGCCTTTAATCATTATTTCAAAAACTATTTCATCATACTTATTTCATAGAGATAGTGTCTTAAAACCAATTATTTTCAATAAAATTTAGCCAAAAACAATTCTGGGCAACGTTTGTAAAATTCACAAAACTGTTGTCATGACAATTATTATCAATGATCATTAAAACGTGCTAAAGTAACCAACAAACTCGGAATTATGCAATAAGACAACCATGTAAACTATCTTTGCCCACATGACGATTTTACTGTGTTAATCAGCATGACATTTTGAACTTAAAGGTCTATTATGCCTCAGAAACATTATCATTTTGTATTTCTGACAGCTTTTTTTATTTTTTGTGCCCTGCTATAGTTTCCAAACAATAACTCATTGCCGCCTTTGTTTCTGTTGTCTTCTGGCAATTACAGTACACTTAAGAGTCAAAATATTACTTTGTTTACATTTTGCTACTTTTATGACAAATAGCTTCATACAATCGTACTCAGAGCTACCTACCTCAGTTAAAAAGTATCTTATATGCTCTAAAAGCATCATTTAAACCTTATATAACTCATGTTTGCCCTTTCTAAAGGAAAAGGGCAGCGGTGGCAAAGTGGTTAAGGTGTCTCCCTTTCAACCCAGATATCATGGGTTCGGGTCCTAATCGAGCCCTAATCGGGTGACGGCCATGTTTCTTCAAATGACACCAGTGCTGGTTGGTTCCAGGAAGCGGACTCAAGTTGCAAGAACTTGTTTCGCAATCGAGCTTCAATAAATATGTTTAAACCAATCTAAAGAAGAAAATCTATTCGTTTTGAAACATACTGTGCCTTTAAACTGCCGCATTTCTGAAATGCACTTGTCAAGCTTCCACTTCTAGTACTACCAATTATATTATAACTTTGGAGGATAGCAAGATGAAAATTTGAAATAACTAACTGTATGCTTAAGAAATAAGAAATAATATTATTTTGTCATTTGTTATAACTATAATAGCACATTATGCCTCAGTAAAAAAATCAAAAAAAAATCCTTATTTATTTAGGACAAATATGATTTTATATATGTTTAGAGCATGTTAGATGCTTATGGCATGCAGAAAGTAACAATGAATGTATACAATATATCGCCATAAAAAGTTGCAAATGTAAAGAAAGTAGTATTTTGATTTCCATGCAAAATACTATACTATTTTTCAAAAATCAACATAAGCAAAATTTGGTTCAGTTAATTGGCCGGTGTTGAAGGCCCATTATGCCTTGGAAATGCTTTTATTTTTATTATCCCCCGAGGGATATAGAAATAGTCTCCGTTCTTCCGTCCGTCCGTCCGTCCGTCCGTCCGACATTTTTGGCCCGAGCATATCTCAAAAAGTATTTGAGGTATAAACTTGAAACTTCATAGGTGGATAGATCATATTGAGTAGGAGTGCAGTGCACAAGAATGAAAACTCTACCTGCATAATTTTTCAGTTATTGCCCTTTGTTATTTGTCAAATTTCCCTTTTGTCCAGAACATAACTCAAAAAGCCTGTGAGATATCAACGTGAAACTTCATAGGTGGATAGATCTTACTCAGGAAGTGTGCAGTGCACAAGAGTGATAACTCTACCCTTCAAAATTTTTGAGTTATTGCCCTTTGTTATTTTTCATACTTAATTTTTCACCTGAGTGGAGCATATTAACTCAAAAAGTCTTTGAGATGTCAACATGAAACTTCATAGGTGGATAGATCTTATTGAGGAGGAATGCTGAATTATAACTCTACCCTTTATCATTTTTGAGTTATTGCCCTTTGTTATTTTTCATACAATTTGTCCGGAGCTTATCTCAAAAAATGTTAGAGGTATCAACTTGAAACAAAGTTACTTCATAGGTGGATAGATCTCATTAAGGAGGAGGGCAGCACACAAGAATGATAACCTACCCTGCATATTTTTTCAGTTATTGCCTTTTGTTATTTTCAGTCATCAGTATTCATATAGGTTTCAAATCTGTACTCATTTCAGCCATCAGTTTTCATTACCAAAATACCTCTTGAAATTGAATTATTCTGCCCTACTACATATACATTCTTCTAATGAGTAAACACATTCGGCGGGGGATGGCCATGTTAACATGGCTCTTGTTTCTCTTTTTTATGTGTACTTTTATAGTATTCAAAAAGTTACTCATTTCTTTCCGTGGCATAATGTGCCTTTAAATATTTTGCAAATATAGCAGGACAACAAAAATTAGCGGGAAAAATGAAATAAGAATAAAATCATTTCGGGAACACTAAGGACATATCAAAGTAAAAGTATATACATACGGTTAGGTGGATCATCTTTGACAAACACAAAATAAATAATAACGCCTGCAGCTATCAGAATTATAAGTACAAAGATCGTTGCAATAATACATCTTTGTGGCGAGCATATATCATTCTTCTTTGTACTAGTACTATTTCGTGAATTTTGTACATGTGTAATTACGTTTGAATCTAAAATCTTATCGTATGTTGTGCTTGAACTTCTGGTTGAATCACTAAGATTGACTGGATCTTGTCCTAAGCTCACTTGTTGACTTCCACTTTGTAAATGATAAGAAACTATAGGAACTAGGCAACTGGCTGTACGTTCTTCAGTCCGCACATCTCTTTCACGTATAACTTTATTTATTTCTCGTACATCACGGTCTACTGTTTTTAATCTGATATGGCTTTCTGTGTGCGCATTACGGTCAACAGTTCCCGCTCTGGTTTTGTTTTCTGCATGCGCATTACGGTCCACAGGTCCCGTTCTGGTTTTGTTTTCTGCATGCGCATTACGGTCCACAGTTCCCGCTCTGGTTTTGTTTTCTGCATGCGCATTACGGTCCACAGTTCCCGATCTGGTATGCTTTTCTGCAAGCGCATTACGGTCCACAGTTCCCGATCTGGTATGCTTTTCTGCAAGCGCATTTCTATCCACTGTTCCCGTTCTGTTATAGTTTTCTGCACGTTTATTTCTGGTCACATTTCCCGTACTTGTATGGTTTTCTGCACGCGCATTCTGATCCACAGTTTTCGTACATGTATGGTTTTCTGCACGCTTATTACTGGCCACAGTTTCCGTAGAGGTATGGTTATAATCAGTATTGGCATCTTGGTCTACTGTTTTATTGCTATCATGACTATTTAAAACTCCTACACGACCATCGACATAACTTGAAACAGTTCCGTTACTCACATCTGATTCCTTTGCGTATGAATACGGAGATTCTTGTGATAATAATTCAAGTTGAATGTACCCTTCTGTGACTATGAGTTCCTGTCCACTGTCATGGATATTAACCCGATTGTCATATTCGGTGGAACGGTTAGTTTCAGCTTTTTTTCCAAGTCCATGGGTATCCATGATCTTTTTTTATAGTAAGCGGGACAATTTATAAATCAAAACTTCCTACTCTATATATAAATCCAGATTATTTAAAGTGAATAACTTGATATTTATCTTTTTTTTATAATTTAACAACTGATCGAGACTGTAAGTAAAATCTTATTGTCAATCTTTTTTTAATGTAAACGGAATAATCAATACATACAATTTTAATGGTCTTTTGAAAATCACCAAGTGTATAATTTCCTTTTAATTCTTCTTTTTTTACATAAAGTTATGCAGTCACGGTCAATCACGGGCATGTCGTTTAAAATATGTTCTATTGATATATATCTGGGAGTTTATGAAACTTAATACTCACTACAATGTAAACCCACAAAACTGATCAGTTAATGAAATTTGAAGCAACATTGTATACACACCGGTCTCTCAAATATCGACCTTTGTCTTACGACGCATTACTTACACCAAATGAGGGTAAAAAATGACTCCGACATAAAGAAGTCCGCGAAGGAATGACAAGTTTATTTTTAAGACCTATGAATTTAAGCAATGGAAATACAAATATCAGATAATTTCGTATATTTTTGCTAACAACGTGTTCAGTTTCTGTTTTAAGTAATACTAGTTGCAGGTGAAATATACGAGAGAATATAGTTTGAATGATATAAATATGATCAACATGATTATATTCTGTCGTTTATCCAGTTAGCAACTTGTGAAACGAATTTATAAATTATAAAATGAAAATTTATTGGTAACTCTTAAAAAGACGGCCTTCGTGATCGGCCTTCGTGATTCTATTCCATTTTAACTCGAACAGTGCATTATCTTACAGCAATGGACTCAAAATAGATATAATTATATTTCCTAATTCTAACACTACCCGCATTTTTCCATATTGAAAATGGAGCATCCGAAATTGTATTTGTTAATATATATATGCAATTAAATCACTGAATTGGCGATATATTTTTAGAAATTGATGTTACCATTAATGATTCGACGCGCTGAAAATAAATACGGAAACAAGTCACGCACAATTTAGCTTAATATCAGGTACGGAAGCACTTATTTGGTGATGTTAGAATCGAAATAATATATCCCAAGCAGTGATTGTTTTTTTCTCTTTATCTTGTCGTCCGATTTCCAGTGATTGTATTTAATGGCCGCCTACAAACTATACCTCCCCTCCCAAAATTCATGTAATTAGAGAACAACTCAATACCGTGACATAATCATTTTCGGAATAATTTGGGATTCGAACACAACACAACTTTGGGTCTCCTGAAGAGTTTTTCAACATCATTTTCACCCCATCTTACTACTTTGTTTACCTTTTAGCCCTAATTGTTCTGGAATTTCATTCATTACATCCATTATCAGGAGATAATTTGCTTATCTGTTACTTGTCATTGTAGGAGGTCTGTAAAAATCGGTACGACAAGATTTTCAAAATAGAACATGCATGTCCTATCCCTTAAATCTCGACATAAGGTTTCCGAAATCAAGAAATAGTAGCCTTCACACATTAAGATTTGTCTGTACATCTTAGTTTTAATTGGTGTTGTACTTCAAAACCCTACCGTCTGTTGAGGCCTTTATTGTAATCGAAACTACTTCTAAATAGTGAAAAATAGGGTGACCCTGTGACAAAATACAATTGCCGTGTAAAACCTTATAACGACACAAATATAGTATTCTGCGACCTAAAATTATTCTAAAACTCACGAGCCACAAAATATTACGGTTCACAAAATGGACGAATAAACAAGGAAGTAAAAGTAACTTGGTCGAGTTTTTACTTCCTACTTGCTCGAAACTTCAGAATGAGTGACTATTATGATGACGATGAGCATGGTGATTCCATATACGCAAATGACTTGACATCAGAGCTGCTAAATGTTCAGGAGTTATTGAAATCAAAATCACTTGAAGAGCTTCTCAAGGAAGATCGTGATAACATAAAAGAGAAGGAAAAAGAGAAACAGTGGTATCATGGACGAATAGCCCGAGACGTTGCAGAGGAAATTTTGAAAAAAGGTAAACATGTGTATATAAGTTGTGGAACATTTTATTTATTTATTTTATTTGTTTTGTTTTGGCCTCTTCCTAAATCATAAAAAAATTCTAAAAAGACTATTTAAAGTCATGCAATACTTCAAACTCACCGGGCTCGAATTTAACACTCGCAAAATGCTAGTTGAAAAATGATTTTGCGAGTTAGATTTATGACTACTCGCAATTTTTTGCGAGTTGAAGAACAAACAGAATACGCTCGTCCGTAATATAATGCAGCATAATATTCGCAGGTAGCCGAGTTATAAACTATATATGCGCGCACTTGCTGTCTGGTTTACATTTTCCATACCTTAACCTTGCTTAAAAAAGTACACAAATTTAAACCAGTCCAAATGTCATTTTGTCCGTGTAAATCAAGTGTGATCCGAATAAAATGTCTAAACGAAAAATAACGTACTTCTTCCCTCTAACTGAAGCAAATGTGTCTTCCGATAACAATACTTTGAGTACAGAAGATGATTCACAGTCTATCAAAAGAACGACAATCAGACCTTCAGTTAAAACGGTTAAAAAATGGGAGAAAGAACTGCACGTCAGTCTTACGTACGAACTCGATGACGATGGAAATGTTGCCAAAATATTTTGCGCCGATTGTTGTGCACATAATCCAGACCAGACATCGTCGGTTTGGCGACATTATTGCATTATTATTTTTTACATGTAGATTGACATTTGATAAGAATCCCTGTCCCCTAAATTAAGTTTTTGAGTAGAAAGTTACATTGCTGATTCGTACCCCGGGCAGTTTGAACTCGTCCAAAAACATTACAATTTTAATTTTCTTATTCTCTATATCCAGCAACAACTTTGTCTTTCAGCACATCAAATAATCAAACAATTTTGGAATTAAAAAATCATTGTCATAAAAACTGCTAGTTGAATTCAGTTTTTGCTAGTTAAAAATTTATCCACTAGCAAAAAATTGCTAGTGGCCAAAAAAGTTAAATTCGAGCCCTGACTCACTCTCGAAATGATCAATTTAAGTGATGTTTCTTACCCAAAGCAAAACACAGTGGAGCCTCGCTAATCCGAACCCTTCTAATGCGGAATCCTTCCTTTCCCGAACAAAATGTCCAGTCCCGATTTTATTCATTATATTTAAAATAGTAAAAACTGTAAAATACCTTTAAGATCTGGAACCTGTTTACTCCGAATTCAATATGATTTTTTAAAATTTTGTACTTGTTTTCCTCTAAAATTAACCTCCTGGAAACGATTCTGAACACTGTTTGCCTATTGTCACACCTACAGCCTTTACTTTCATTCAAAATGAAAATATCGCACATCTTGCACGTGTAAACATAATCATATCAAACTGATGAGAGTAATGCCACTTGATAAGTGGGTGAAACATATGATTTGCAAATGTGTGAAATTACCCTTAGCTTGTTTTGATAATGACTATAATTGCCTCATTGATTGATTTTCGGCACATCCAGTAGTTATGTTGATATTATTATGCATACGCATAACTTTTAATCTTTTGTAATAAATTTAATGACATGAGATTAAATAATGGCACTTAAGAGAAACTGTCAGTGAATTCAGATAACTGCCGAATCAGGTGAGAAAACAACCATGCCGGTACGAATATTTAATCATGTCTCAGCCTCCTTCTTAACATTGTTAGGTAGAACTTACCCTTAAGGACATAACATTTTTTTTTGTATTCATGTGTATTAAAATGAACGGTAAGAGTGTAAGTTTGAAAAAAATTGATATTTATGTTGCAATTTCATAAGAATTTCCGTTTTCTTTCCTTAAACTTTTCTGCCCTTCAAATATACAAATGCAATGTATGCAAAAAACCATCTAATCCGGAAACCTCTTTAACCCAAACTTTTCATCTGGTTCGAACAAGTTTGGACTAGACATGTTCCACTGTACTAAGGTTTCTTCCCAACACAGTTTCGTCAAACTACTAGTTATTATACTAATATATATTTTCAGGACTTTTAAAACATGGACATCTTGATGGTTTGTTTTTGGTGCGAGAAAGCTCCTTCTCTTCCTCAAGTTTTGTGCTGTCTTTATATAGTAAAGGCATTTTCTTCCACTTCCAAATTAATGAGGTCAAATCAGCGCACTTCAGCATTGATCAAGGTCCCACAGTTCATGGTAAGATGTAAATGATAAAATCATATAACTAGTGTAATGTTTTTTACGTTTTTCTGAATTTCTTTTCACTTGCCATGCTCTTCGTAAGTAAATTAAGATATCAATTGAATTATTCATGTTCAATTTAGTCTGATAAATAACATGTTGTTATTGATATATTTACCAAATTGTAACATTAAAATCTAGTATGTACATTTGGATTAGTATATTTTATCATCATTGATATTCAACAGTATCCTATTCAATATCAGTTAATAGTTTAGAAAATTAATGTGATGTGAAAACTTATTTCTTCCTGTTTTGCTCATACATCTCTCTTTTTCACTTTCCTCCCTTTTTCTGAGTTAGCTTGAACTGTAAATTAAATTTTTAGACGTCAGTTAGAAATATGAACGAGGAAACATACTTTCTCTGTCATGGTATGCTGTATTTGTAATGAACTAAACAAGCATGCATGACATGATGATGACAGTTAACAACACATACTCTCACTGTTTTCCAGTGTACCAGCTACATGTATTAAATTCAGTATGTCATTAATATTTGGCTTTTGATATGTCAATACAAAATTTTCTATCCATGACTACCCTACTAATCAATGACATGATTAAAGTATTAAATAGAAATCTATAAAGATAAAAAAAAATTATCATTTCTTTCTGATTTCAGTATGAAGTTTAAATGTTCATTCTATGACACATAAATGAGCCGCGTCACGACAAAACCAACATATTAGGTTGGCGACCAGCATCCGCTCAGTCTGATCAGGATCCATGCTGTTCGCTTACAAACCCTATTACAAGTAGAGAAACTGATAGCAAACAGCATGGATCCTGATCAGACTGCGCGGATGCGCAGGCTGGTCTGGATCCATGCTGGTCGCAAACCCATTATGTTGGTTTTGTCAAAACGCGGCTCATATATATTTATAGGACTTGATAGGTTGATACAAAATTATCAAGAACAAGCACAAGGGCTACCAACACATTTGACACAGTTCTGTAAATGTAAGCCTCCGCCAGACGAACAGAGATACAGTGGCTTTACCAACCTTCTACACAGGGCGGTTCTAGAAAGTAAGTCATTGTCTTACATATAAATGTAAAACTGATGTTTAAAGATGAGCTGTACTTGATTGATTGATTGATTTATTGATCAGCTGGATTTAATTGGACATACATATTTGATTTTAATGTAAAACTGATATATAAGAATGATCTGCATTTGATTGATTGATTGATTGATCAATTGATTGATCGATCAATTGGATTTAGATGAACATATTTGATTTAAACCTGTTCTAGAAAATAAATCATCTTGATTCATCTAATATATATGTGTAAAACTGATGTATAACAATGAGCCCCTATTGGATTTATTGATTGGTATTATCAGATTATATATCTGCTGCAAGTAATTTATAAAATTATAATTTGAATTTCGAAAAGGTATAATTCCAAAATACGTGAAAGAAATTTATTTGTATATTTTATTGAAATTCAATTGCCCATACACAAAATGACTCTTAAAATCGTATTTTTAAATGACAGAATATGTATGTTCATGCGTTTTATAATACACATTAGGCAAATTTAAGATCATCATAATTATTTTCATAAAATCTTTGTTTCATATCAGATATTCCGGACGTAGTGAAGCAAATTTTAGATAGCAAATACTGTCCATCAGTGAATGCCAAATCTGAATGGGGTAAGTACCAAACATTGTATACCGTTAAATTTGAGCTGCGCCATGACAAAAGCAACATAGTGCGTTTGTGACCAGCATAAATCCAGACCAGCCTGCGGATCTGCTCAAAATCTGATTTTGACCTGCTTGTCTGTTTTCATGTGAAGCATTATTAAACTTGTCCATATGTTATTTACATACCGGTAGTTAATTCTTGAAAATTTTCACTTGTCCATACAGGCTGCCGACAACCTGGGTGATAGGGACAATTGATTTTGCCGGCCCTACCATAAGTATGTCTGTACTACATAATATGGTAAAGGTTGTTGACATCAAACCACTGTTGGCTCGAATCCTGCCAGGGAAAATGGATTCTTTTATGTGAGGAAGCTTTCCAGGTAGCTAATGGGATGTTCTTCAGGTGCCCTTTCGTGCCTGAGGGGCATCTGATGTCTTCCTCCACCATCAGAGCTTGAAAGTAGCCATAGGACTCTACTGTGTCATCGCAACATAAAACACACAAACAAGCCAAAAAACCTATAATATTTGTTGTGTTATGTAAAGCAGTGCACATTCTTTTTACAAGGAAATAACAACAATAAAAACTTGACTGAATAATAGGGAAAAGGAACAGAAAAATCACTTTGTTTCCTTAATATCAGTTTGAACATGTTGGATTATTAGCAATATTATTATTTGTATGACTTTCCTTAAAATTATTTTCATACAAAAATTTGTTGAGAGGAAGTGTATGCTGTCTTATATAATAAATGTAAGAAAAATATAGCAGATCTTCTTAAATGATGTCTTTAACTGTAAAAGTGCTTAATAACTTATAATGTACATTGTAGGTATGACTGCGTTACATGATGCTTGTTACTATGGTTTTGAAGATATAGCTGATTTACTTATACGACATGGGGCCAATGTTAATTGCTTTGATAAAGATGGTCAAACGCCTCTACATGTACGTAGATTTTTTTCTTTTAACTTTGACCCAATCTTCCTAAATTATCTTCTTAACTATTAAATTATCTCCCGTTATTTTCGTATACGTTTCAGAGATGTTATTATGTGCAACACTTAAATTATCTCCCTTTATGTAATATGTTTCAGAGAGGTTATACTTGCAATACTTATTAAATTAGCTCCCTTTATTTTTATGTTTCAAGATGTTGTATGTGCCACACTTATTAAATTATCTCCCTTTAAATTTCATGTTTCAGAGATGTTATACTTGCCACACTTATTAAATTATCTCCCTTTATTTTACTTGTTTAGAAATATTGTACTTGCTACACTTATCAAATTATCTCCCTTTATTTTATATATCAGAGATGTTGCACAGGTAACAAGGCTGGTATTATATCTATACTGATACAAGAAGGAAATGCCAATGTGAATGAGAGGAACCCAAAGAGTGGTTGGATACCAATACATCAGGCTGCCTTCAAAGGATACCTAGACTGTATCAAGGTATTTTACTTATGATATCATATATCCTTCCTAGGTAACTTAAGATGACATATATCCTTCAAGGTAACTTATGGTGTCATTTAACCTTTCTAGGTAACTTATGATGACATATATCCTTCAAGGTAAATGAGGGTGTCATATATCCTTCCTAGGTAACTTATGAAGTCATATATCATTCCTAGGTAACTTATGGTGTCGTAAATCCTTCTAGGTAACTTATGATGTCATATATCTTTCAAAGTAACTTAAGATGTCATATATCCTTCATAGGTAACTTATGATGTCAAATATCCCTCAAGATAACTTATGATGCCATATATCATTCAAGGTAACTTATGATGTCATATGTCACTCCTAGGTAACTCATGATGTCATATATATTTCTATGTAATTTATGATGTCATATATCCTTTCTATTCTAGGTAACTTATGGTGTTATTTATCCAGTAAGCTTACTTATGACATTAATTATCCAGCCAGTTTACTAATAGCGTCTGTTAGGTTGGGTTATTTATGACATTAATTATCCAGCCAGTTTACTTTTAGTATCTTATTATCATATCAATTTGTGATCTCTCATAAGTAAAGTTGGAAAGACTCAATATAACCTTAAGCTGTGTTGGTGTGTCCTAAAAGTATATATATCTATACAGAATATAAACTTGTACAAAGCTTACTTGATCAACGTTATCACATTTTATCAGTTTTTTTGAAATTAGGATGAAACATTTAGATTTAAAGTCATCTTGGGATCATAGATAATTTTCAAAGTCAATATCTGGTATTAAAAATACTTATTTATTGTGAGTATTTGTTAATATGTGGAAAGTCAGTGACAGACTCTGCGAGGACCGTAGCTCTATAAGATAGCATGTATGGCGTGTATGGCTTAATCAGAATCACATTAAAATCAATATAAAAAATATATGTGTCAGTCTACCATGTTTGAAAAAAGTCCTTAGTAAGCTGGGCGGGCTTGTGCTTGTTATGAAATTAAAGGGGCTTTCCGTGTCATAGGGAGCACCTACTTTCATATTATACATGTGCAAATCGTCGCTTTTAGTAACGATATATTTTTCATATTAGCCTAATAATTTTTTCATTCATTAACTTGCCTTGTAAAAAGGCTTAAAATTTATTGGGTTTGTTATCGCCCTACATTTGAGCGTATATTTCAGATATTACTAGATTACCATTCTCCATACCTGCCTCGAGCAGATGACGATACCACGCCACTCGATCTTGCTGAAAACTACGAACACTCCGACTGTGTAACAGAAATAGGTATAACACTGTTTTAGATTCAATATGACATTTAAAGCAGCATGTCTCCAAATGCTTGCTGATTTTCATGAAAAATTTGAAAATTGATTTTAAAGTGTAAAATTGTGAAGTAACCATAAGGAAGCATTTTGCACATTATCAATGGCAATTACATCCCACGTTAATTACCAAAAAGAGGTCAAAATATGGAAAAAATAGCACTTACTGTGATAGTAACGCAGTAGAAAAATATAGATATAAATACTGAAAAACCAGTTATTTAACACACATAACATGACAATAATTACTTGAAGCTTTAATATTTTACTTTTCCTAAAATCTTAGCACATTTTTCTCATGTTTGATTTTATTGAAATATTTTGGCTCATCTGGAGGCATGCAAGCTTAAACCCTAAAACCTGCTGAATTTCTATAATGGATTAGCCCTGCTTTGAATTTGGAACAGTCCATTCTGATGTTAAGGGATTTCAATATCAAAGTACAAAAATGAGCTACAAACCAGAATTGTTGAACTGCACTGATGTAGTTAAATTATTAGTTATAACGATTTTTTTACAGGTTATATGACCCTATATAAATGGTTGTTTGGAAATATAACCAGAGCTGCTAGGCAAGGCTTACATTGCAAACAACTATTTATATACAGCCATATAACATGTCGGGAATATTTATAACAAATTTATAATACAGCAAACTTCCTTTTTTTTTTAAAAAAAAAAAGAGATTTCTTCTTAAATTAAGTTGCTGTGTATATAATGGAACTATTTGACTAATCAAAAGTGATCACCCACAATGACTTATATTTCTGTGTTATTTGCTTTTTAGATCAATTTGAACAACCAAAAGTGATCACCCACAAGTATGATTGGTTTCATCCTGAGATAGATAGACCGGTAATATCTCTAATTTATTTATACTTGGCTAAATTTTAGGCTTAGACAAATATTAGTTCCAGTGAAAGGTTTGAAAAAGTAATGTTTTAGTTTCAGACCTTTATTTCTGTAATCCTAATAACATCATATTTACAATTTCTTTGGTTTTGTATGCTGATAATAGTATTTCAAAACTTGATTGAAATGATCAAATAAAGTTTGAAATACTAGCCTAAAGTGACATTATACTCATTGTATTGTTCCCAAGTCAAGCTGAATTGAATATATACGTGTTTAAAAAGATTTACTATTAAAATGGTCATTTACTAATTATTGATAATTAAAAATATTAAGAATAAAATATAACAACTGCCCAAAATATAAAGACTGTCCCACTCTTTTTATCAATTGAACATTTATTATACATTCTGAAAGGATGCATTCTGAAAGAATATTTGAGCAGCGTCATGACAAAACCAACATAGTGCGTTTGCGACCAGCATGAATCCAGACCAGCCTGCGCATCCAAGTAGTCTGATCAGGATCCATGCTGTTTGCTCACCAACTCTTTTACAGGAAGAGAAACTGATAGCGAACAGCATGGATCCTGATCAGACTGGGCGGATGTGCAGGCTGGTATGGATCCATGCTGGTCGAAAACGCACTATGTTGGTTTTGTCGTGACGCGGCTCATTTATAGAATTTCCTGTGTGTTATGAGGATTATTGATTATGCACATGAATTAGACTATAAAATCGAAAACAATTATGGCGAAATTTGAAGTTATTTTGACTTGTGCACCCACCATTTACTCTTGGCTGGACATAATGTTACTTTAAGGATAAAGTTGCCATTCCCTTGAAAAAGAAACAAAAATATCATTTGTTCTAAAACATTTTTTTTTTCTGGTGTGTAAAGGGTGTTTTTTTTCTGTGATTTTCAGGGAGCCCAAAAGTTGTTAGAGTTAAAAGGTCTGAGAGAAGGGCTGTTTCTTGTAAGAGGTAGCAAGAAAAACCTAGATTGGTATGTGCTTACGTTATGCCATGACCAAAAAGTGTTCAACTATGAAATCAAAACAAAGGTAAGCTATCTTTCACTTTTAATAGTGAACAGTGCACACATTATGTAGTAGTCTAAATGGACTTGTTCATTTTGCAGTCTGGACAAAACTATTGATCATTTTTCAGGAGAAATATCCCAAATATGTACTGACCGAATAGTGAATAGTGCACACATTATCAGACAACACTGATGTACTGATCTGATCTGGGTTGGTACTGGTCACATGGGTAGAATTATTTAATGGTGATGATTAATTTCTTCATGACAATTCATCTTTCGGCATGGAGTCTGTAGTCATTTGACTCTCTCTACTGATAATAAACTGATGTAGAATTACTGATATGTTATCCAGGAAAGTGAGTTTGGTGAATCGACCACCGGGATCGGACCAAAAAATGCGTTTAAATCACCTTTAAAAAAAACAACAGAAAAAACAAATGGAAAACTAGTGTTTAAATGTGTTTTTTTTTTACATATTACAGAATTACAGAGATCGGCACATGTTCTTTATAGATGATGGACCATTTTATAAAAGTTTAGAACATCTTATACAGTACTATAGTTACCATGCCAACGGTCTGCCATGTGCCTTAACAGTATCCGTAAATACAAGTAAGTATAGAGGAGTTGAAGTGCCATATTAGTATTTATTATATGGAGGGTTGACCACAAAATTGCAGTAAATTATATGAAATAAAGAAGGGCTAACAACAGTCTTGCAGTCAACCCTCGATATGGTTTTCAATGTGATATGAGCCGTCGGGTTAGCTCAATAGGTAAAGTGTTAGACTGTGAATCAGGTAACCCGGGTTCGATTCCCGGATTGTGCAGGTCATTTTCATTGTGATTGATAACGAAATCGCACTGTACCTCTGCTCTGGCATGTACTGAAGTTTCAGTTCCTTGCCAAAGTGGATGCTACACTAATACTGGTAAACTGCTTGACAGCTTGTCCAGGAACGATATGGTGGCTGAACTGTGCTCTGGTAAATTCAATGTGGATTACTTTTGTGATCCGAGATATAGAATGATATCAATGAGATATAAGTCATATCACATCATTTGAAACTGAGTGAGATATAGAAGAAATTTTGTTCCCATTATAAACATTGAAACAAATAGAAAAGAAAAAAAAAGAATATCAGATATATAGCATCTCAAATGAGTTACCATATAATAAAAAAAGTTATTAAACAAGTTCAAAAAATTGTTGCAAAGCAAGTCTTTGGTGAGCTTTAGAACATTATCATGGAAATGTTAAATAGAATATTATTTTATATGACAATGAATGTGAGATTAATTTTTTTATCACATGACTAAATACATTGAAATTTTTAGATATTTTACCAGTGCTTTTCTATATACATATTATATGAGTATAACACATACAATATAAGGAAATAAATGATGATTATAATACTTCGAAAACAAGCAATGTAATGAAATGATTTTTATGATGTCATGTCCTACAAATTCACATTCATGGAAATTCACCATGAAACCTTTACTGTAATGGTGTGACTTTAAAACCAACGGAACAATCTAACTTGTGTTACTAAATATAGATTGTATTTGTTATCCAAATGTCTAAATAGTATCTCAGAACTTCATCGGGTATTTATTAATATGTGTGTGTTTGTTAATATGTGTATATTTGTTACTATGTGTATATTTGAAACTATGTGTATATTTGAAACTTTGTGTAATTGTTTGTCTGGTTTGTGATTACAGCTAGAGAACTGGTACAAATATCAAAAGACGATGAATACTTCAACTTGGTAGACACTTCAAACAGATACCCAAGTAAGTCTGTCTTAACTCTTAACCTCCTGAATTTGTATAATGGATTCATCATGCTTTAATTATGGAACAGTCCATTCTAAGCTTTAGGGCTTTTAATGTCCGAATATAAAATTGAGCTGCTAACTGGATAGAACCTAGATAGACTGCAAGGATGCGCAGGCTGGCCTTGCTATAATTATACTTGGCGGCAAGGGGCATCTGAGGCTTAGTGGTTAAACCACTTGCCCCTCAACGCTGTGGGCTCGAATCCTGACAGGGACTTTGGATTCTTTCATGTGAAGAAGCTATCCAGCCAGCTAACGGAATGTCAGTGATTCTACTCAGGTGCCCGTTTGTGCCTGAAAAAATGCAAGGAGGGGCACCTGAAGTCTTCCTCCACCATTAAAGCTGGAAGGACGCCATATGACCTATACTGTGGGACATAAAACCCAATCAAACAAACAAACAAAACTTGGCAGCAAAGATTTTTAGTCCCAGCAAAGTTAAGGTTATTTGTTTGTTTTAGCAAATCTTAGTTGACTTTGTTGTGCTTTGTTAAATCTTTAAGAATTATGAGCTAAAATTGAAATTTATATCATTGAAGTATATGTAACGCTTGAATTTATAATCAAGCAATAGACATTAATTCTGAGTGCATATTTGAGGAATAATGCATATTTGAAGATTAATGCGGCATCTGTGGCCAAGTTGTTAAGGTTGTTGTTTTCAAACCACTTGCCCTTCACTGCTGTAGGTTCGAATCCCGCCAGGGACTTTGGATTATTTCATGAGAGAGAGCTATCCAGCTAGTTTACATAACATATGTGGTTTTACTCATAAAATAATGCACTTGAGTTCTTCCTCCATTAATGCGACATAAAACCCAACCAAAAAGAAAAAAAGATGATAAATAATGCATGGTCTAAGTTATGAAAGGCAGTTAAGTGTAATCACAGAGGCATTTAGGAATGAGTGAATAATTGCAATGAATTTGAATGATAAACCATAATATATAATAGGAAATTGGAATCTATATCCATGCTAACATGGTAATAGAAAAAGAAATTGATCATAGATTATGTATGACTACATTGTGCACAGAGATAAATTTTCCTGATGCGTTATGGCTTATTGACATGCATCTGACATCATAGGGCATGAAAAACATTCCTTTCCTCATTTTATGCATTACCAAGTTATAAGTCATCGGAATGACTGTGTAATAAGGAAATAATGTTGAGGGTGTGTAAAAATGTTAATTAATAACAATTTATTTTATATGCAATATTGTAAGAAAGAGCACTTAAGTTTTAATAGTACTTGAAAAAAATTTTGCTTTATAAAATTGCTAATGATATCTTTTTAAAAGCTTTAATTTTTTATTTTTCTATGTATATTCAGAGAAACCTGAATTCTTATCTAATTATTGCATTTTTGTCTGTATTTTAGAATAATAATTTTAATCTGAGGATAACTCATATGTTACTTTATTTGCTGTTGATTTCTTTTACAGCAAACGTATCACCAGCATTGCCACCACGACCCGAGTCTTTAGACATGACGTACACGGAAAGTGCCTCGGGCCCTGTGTCAAACAACGCCCATCAACATGCCCCACCAATGCCCCCGTCTCCAACACCACCCATGTCTAGTCCTCCGCCACCACCAAACCATGTATGTATATAAGTACATAAGTAAGGTTCTATGTTTGTATTCATTTATAGGGCATGCCTCATGCTGAGTAAAATAAATCAGAATTGTCATAAGAATAATAAACATGTTTATAGTTTAAGAAATGAATGATTAAGTATACCCAATCCAGGTGAAAAGGTGTTGTCAAAAATATGACAGAATTTACTATTTTTATCACTTAAATATAACCTTTGATATTAATGGCCACTGATCACAGACAGCAAATAACCAATGTTTGCAGCCATTGATACAAAAATTTTCATAGAGTGTTGTGGGCAAGGTACCAGTATTTAGAAGTGAACTTACTAACAAGTTTGAATGTATCTGACTTAATGGAAATAGAGGATATTGAATGAGTGTAGGGTTTATAGAGTGAGGGATGTTGCATTTTTTTATTATCGCTCATGTACAGACTCAATGAAACTGAGTCTGCAATTTTCATGTAATTTTGTTGAGATTAGTTTAGTTTATACAAATTTATTTTAGTTAGATTGTGTTGGAAGCTTTAAGCTTATTGAAACAGTCTCGAATCCGTTCCTGGAACCAACCAGTACTTAGCAATAAATGTAAAGTTTCTTGCTCAAGGAAACAACAGCCTGCCCCTGACTGGTCCGATGCTTTAACCACTTGGCCACGCCGCCATTCATATGTTGAGATTAATGCTTCCGAGGAATCACACTTTTTCCAGATTTTAATACAAAATTTATTAAACGAGTTGAATAAAATTATGTTATACAAATGTTTAGTCAAAATATATGTACAGCTGTGCAATATTCTTTTTAAGGAGTTGCAGAAGTGACATGGGTTTGTGATAAAATGCTATAATGAACTGATTCACTCATTAACTTCTGTGAGTAATATATGTGAGCCGCGTCACGACAAAACCAACATAGAGCATTTGCGACCAGCATGGATCCAGATCAGCCTGCGCATCCGCACAGTCTGATCACATCTCCATGCTGTTTGCTATCAGTTTCTCTACTTGTAATAGGGTTGGTGAGTGAACAGCATGGATCCTGATCAGACTCCTCGGATGCGCAGGCTGGTCTGGATCCATGCTTGTCGCAAAAGCACTATGTTGGTTTTGTTGTTACGTGGCTCATGTATAATTTTATCATGATTTTTCTTCAACAGCCACCACCTATCAGCAAACAGCAAAGTATTACAAAACAACCGGAGGTTTCATTACGACAGATTGAAAGAAAACTCCTCTCATTAGGTAACTTACTTTAAAATAGTTGTTAGGGCTACCTTACTCAACATGAACAGACTCAATTAAACTGAGCCTGCAACATTTTCAATTTTACCGTTTTGGACTTTCTTCAGGGATACTTATTTTCTCTATTTTACTTTATATTTCATCTGGTTTTTTTTCTCAACTAAGATTTAAGTTTCTCAATATTTATCATATGTCCAAGATAAGAACGGTTTACAGTTAAAAAGAGTCATTTTTCATTGACATGCCTATAGTGTATGCTGACATTAGCGAGCTGTAATGCTATGTTTGTAAATAACGCAAATGACATCACATCATATTGTTATTACACTAGAGTAATATTGCTTTTACCGAATTTCTTTATTACACTCCTGACCTGTGGTTTATGTGAAAAGGATTTTTATAATTTGTGAAATTTGATAGATACCGGATATATTCTACTTAAAATTGAGAATTTTTGGGTTATATTTTCATATGTGCTTCATAGTCTTGAAAATAATTCCAAATTTTGACTTCCTTGTTAAAAATACTCCATATTCACTGAAAACAAACAAAATTTAATACCCTTGTCATACTCATTAAAATTTGACTGTTTGTAATACACAATGTTGTCTTTTTTTGTGCAGGTAAAGAGATAGGGCAAGGTGAGTTCGGGTCTGTAGTGAAAGGTGTTTACAAGAAGAAAGGGACGGGAAGGGGGAAGACAGAGAAAACAGACGTAGCTATAAAATTGTTCCATAAAACAGCCATCAATAACCAGGAGGATTTTCTGAAGGAGGCTAGGACCATGCAACAATTAGAACACCCTTGTATTGTCAACTTTATTGGCATCGCAGAATCAGAAAACCATGAACTTATGCTGGTTCGTGATTTTTACATTTTGAACGATATTTGCACCCTGATGGTTGACCGACCCTGGTGTTGCTTTGAAGTCTGTAACACCCGAGGTCAGCTGAAATAATTTTTTCTGTTTCCACCATATGACCTATACTGTGTTGGTGGACCGTAAAACCAAACAAACAATAACCTAGCACCCTCACGCAGTCAATATGTCAGTTATATTTAGTAAACACACCTTTAAATTATTTTGTGTTGATTGTTCATTCCACCAATCCTATTTCATCTATTGCACAGGTATTCTTAATTAAACAGTCATGAGTATACTTGTAGTTTTATCTTAGTTATAACGATGCATTTCAGTCATATGATCAATTTTTATGTTTTTCCTTTTTTAGAATAAAATGAAAAATTTAGAGGAATCCTAAGGAGCCTCTGTGGTGGAGTGGAATCACTTGCTCCTCACCCATGTAGGTTCAAATTGAAAATTGTGTAGTTTTTTTTTATGTAAGGAAGTTATTCAGCTACCTTACTTAGGTGCCCCCCCCCCCCCCCCCCCCCCCGTCATTCATGCCAGAAGTAATGCGCATAGGTATTTGTGGTCTTCATCTCCAGAAAACTAGAATAGTTGTTATAGTACCTTAAAGCTGCATGTCTCCAGATGAGCCAAAATATTTCAAGAAAGTCAAACTTGAGAAAAATGAAAAATATATACTAATATTTTAAGAAAAGTAAAAAGATTCAAAATTCAAGAAAAAATTTGCATTCTATGTGCGATAAATGTCTGATTTTGTAGTATTAATTGCCATACTTTCTACTGCGTGGGAAGCCCAGTTAGGGCTATTTTTGTACATTTTGACCTCTTTTTTTTTTTGGTAAATTAGGTGGATTGACTTTTGAAAGTGCTGTTTTCAATGTGTAAATTACTTGTTTTGTTCACTTCACAATATTTTACTTTTAAATACATTTTCACATTGTCATGAAAATTATCATGGATCTGGAGGCATGCTGCTTTAACAGGATTAGTGTGGCTTAAAATCCACTTATTGATAATCAGTTCAATAAAAAACAATCGCTTTTATTTTGCTAAAAATCCAACAAATACAAAAAAAGATTTTTATCCTTATTACTTTATGCTTATTTTGATAGTTTGATCTGATATTAAATTTAATGTATACTATAGGTAGAGGAATATATATCAATGGGGTCCATGCTTGATTATCTGATAGACCATCGAGACAATATACGGAAGGTTGACCTATATTTGTGGGCAGCCCAGATCGCCCTCGGTATGATGTATCTAGAGAAGATGAAGATGGTACACCGAGATTTGGCCGCGCGTAATATATTACTGCAGAGTAAAGAAAAGGTATTTTATATAAAAATCATATATTTATTTGAATGTATTATACAGAAATATGTCAGAAATCGTTATTTTCTTCATCAGACTACTACCCTATTAGTCTCAGTGAAAGAGAAATTTCGGCATATTTTGAGAAGTAAAGATGATTTTTGTGCATCGTAAATTTCCTTTTAAAAGCTAGGTTTTAGTTAAAACAAGATACAAAAGTATCCACTTAAGCAATGATAGCTAGGCAAAAAGCCTTTTTTTTAAAAAGTCAGTTTCAAGGGCTTTATAAACTTTTTTTTGCCTGTTCGAGTTTTCAAAAAAATAAATAATAATGTATGTTACATAAAATAAATAAATAGAGAAAGAGATAATTATAAGGTTATTGAAATTCCTATTTATTTATTTATTTATTTATTTTTATTTATTTTTTTGCTGAGAACCAGAAATAAAACTTTATTTGGACCCTATTGTGTATAGAGACATGTATGTATTTAACAAAAACATTGGCTCTCATTTCATGTTTGTTTCATAATTATTTTCCTTGTGTATAATGGATGAGTTTTAATGTTCAAGTATTACTTTAAGTATATAATAAGGAAACTTTCTTTTTATGAAATTATTATAAGCTATATTTGGTACATGTGTACTATATTTGATACAGAGGAAATTTGATTTCTTTTTTAAGTGGCTGAAACCAGGCAGATAGTTTACATAGATAGGCAAATTTAATGATTTATGCTCAAAGGTTTCAATTGCATGTGAAACAAAGAAGAAAATGCAAAAAAATTGCAATAAGCCTTCAAAATAAGATGTAACATATGTTTTATTACTACACTTCAAAGAAGAATTCCTCTAACAAAAAGTACAGTAACAAAAATAAGTCATTCACTTAGTAGAAATATGGTGATAAATACATGTCCTGCAAAATTATTCATTCATTACATACAACATAACATGTTGATTATTTCTTGAATTGTGAATATTTTTACCATCCTTACAATTTTAGTACATTTTAAATTTTTTCTCAATGTTGATTTTTTTTAAATATTTTGGTTTCATCTGGAGGCATGTAGCTTTAACCCAGTTGTTAAGCAGAGATAAGGAAAATTTTGCTTTATTTGACATATTTCGGATGAGTATAATATTTCTTGATTGCACATGATTTAGTTTTATGTGTAGAATAGCTTTCTAATACTTTACTGTCAAAAAAATTTATAAGAATCAGCATGAATCAAGAAGTACATTGTACACAGCTTTAAGGGATTTATATAAAACAAAATTCACTAAGGCCAAACAAAAGAAAAGTTCTGTTTCTTATCTCCCAAGCTACCTTATTTTGTTCAGGCCACTTAAGCGTTTTCAGATCCTTTCATATTGGAACAGTATCCAGCTAGCATAATAGAATGTCAGTGGTTCTAATCAGTTGCAAGTTTGAGCCTGAAATAATACACAGAGGGGCACCTAAGTACTTCCTCTACAAGTAAAGCTTGAAAGTAGCCATATGACCTATACTGTGTTGCTGTGACGTAAACCCTAACCAATAAAAAAAAAAATTTGGCTTTTTTGTATATTTTGTATAATGGTATACATCTTTACATCTGTATATTTTTCAGGCAAAGATAAGTGATTTTGGTTTATCAAGAGCTGTAGGATCAAACAGTGATTACTACAAGGCTACTACAGGGGGAAGATGGCCAATTAAATGGTATAGTATAGTCATAACCATTTATACTATACTCATTACGATTTATTCTCTTTACTCATAACCATTTATACTTTACTCTTAACCATTTATACTTTACTCATAACCATTTATACTCTACTCATAACCATTTTTACTCTTTACTCATAACCATTTATCCTCTACTCATAACAATTTATACTCTACACATAATAATTTATACTATACTCATAACCATTTATACTTTACCTTAGCGGCTCAGGTTATATTTCCAAACAGCTGTTTATATAGGGCCATATAACCTGTCTAAAAAATCTTCATAACTAATATTATAAATAGACTTGCTCAAACTTAGAAGCCGTCATTGATCGGAAATTTTGTATCATTGTATCGAAAGCTACATATCGTCAATATGAATATATATTGATATATCGAATTCAATAGCTTGAACAAGCTTTGTGTAATAAACTGTTATCATGGTGAATGCAATCATGTTTTGTACATCATGAATGCAGAATTACATCGGAAAGTATTTATCTTGATATCATATCTGACAGACTAATGAAAATTCAAAACTGACTTTTTCCCTTTACACAAAATAGTGATATTTTCACAAAGACATGAGAAAATGGGTTTAAATTGTATCGATATTTGAAATTTTGAATTAATTATGTTTAAATTAATTGAAATAGCAAACTTTTCTGTATTTTATATGTAGGTATGCCCCAGAATGTGTGAACTACGGTCATTTCTCACATGCTAGTGATGTATGGAGTTTTGGCGTGACATTGTGGGAGATGTTTTCTTATGGAGAACCACCATATGGTGATATGAAAGGAATTGAGGTAACTGTGTATGATGAACTTATTTAGTTATACTTTAATTTGATGGAGGTGTGTTTTTTTACGTTAAATGTTTAACACGGTTATCTGGTCTCCGTTTAAACGGTTAGCATTTTTTCTAACCATGACACCTCTATTCAAATCCCACCAGGGACTCTTCCAGCTAGCTTCAGAACTTTGGTGGTTCTACTCTAGTGCCAGCTTTTGCCTGAAATTGAGCCGCGTCATGACAAAACCAACATAATGGGTTTGCGACCAGCATGGATCCAGACCAACCTGCGCATCCGCAAAATCTGATCAGGGTCCATACTGTTCACTTACAAACCTTATAACAAGTAGAGAAACTGATAGCGAACAGCATGGATCCTGATCAGACTGCACGGATGCGCAGGCTGGTCTGGATCCATGCTGGTCGCAAACCCATTATGTTGGTTTTGTTGTGACGCGGCTCAAATTATAAAGTTAACACAATATCATTTTTGTTGTTTCACTTATCTTTATATTGTAAATTATTGTAAAAATGATTGAATGGCACTTGTTAAGAGTGGCAGTATCAGCATATTTGATATTAAAGTGACATTATGCTCATATTTTCACTGTCAAGTTGAACTGATTTGACTATATATTTCAAAAGATAACTTTAATGATGGTGATTGACCAACAGTTGTTCTTGGAAAATATTTAAGATGAAATATAAAACTATAAGAAATATAAAAAAGACTGCCCCAATTATTTTATAAATTGAAAGGTACAGGCTGTTTGGGCCATGTGAGGTATTTTTCATTCATGTGAAGTTATTTATAAAATTGATGGGAAAATGTAATGTAATGCTTTATTTTTATGTATTGGTGTCTTCAGGTGATAAAATATATTGAAGAGGGAAAACGTCTAGAACAACCGGACAAGTGCCCCAAAGTTGCGTACGCACAGATGTTAAAGTGTTGGAACAAAGAGCCGCGGGAGAGGCCGACATTTCAAGCATTAAACGCACATTTTGAGGGCGAAAATGAATATTCCTGCACCAGAGATATTATGAGGACACTAAGAAATTAAAATCGTTAAACAAAAAAGGATGAAAATAACTGAAATATTAGATATATTTCTTTGTTTATTGTACATTGTTGTTTTTTAAATAACTGAGGAACTGTTTGCCAAATATAATATATATATTTTGTTGTTTACTTCTCTAACAACTGAACAATGATATTGATAAACACTTATCCTTAGGAGAAGGGGAAAAATAACACATAAATGGTGGTATATGTCTGTTTGTTGGACATTTATTTCATATTTATTTTTTAGAATCAGGCACCATGCTCTAAAGGTTAAGGATTTGTAATTTCCTCTTTGGTTAATGTTTATTGGCTGAACATCTATGTGAAGGTGATCTTAAATTGACATTAGATGATCTTTTCAAGATTTGATCCTGAAATTTTCTTTGTGAACACATTTGCAAGGATTTATAATTTCCCTGAGATAAATCGCCAAAAATAGAAATTGTTTATAGACCTCTATTAGTCCAAAATTTAACATAGAGGAGAAAGGTGTTTTTATTGTAAATGAAAAAAGTAATATATTGTTATGTTATGTATAAGATTAGACTTATTGTTATATAAAGAAATGATTTTAGTTGTGATGTGAAAAAACAACAACAAATTTGTCAGATTTTTATTCAAATGAATTGCGGGAAGGGAGTGTTTTGTTGTCATACATCTTTTCTTTTAAATGAAATTTTGAGATAACATTTAAGAATTAAGACCTGTTGTCAGTCAGACAAATATTGAAGTATTTGAATATTGTACTGGAAGATATGTATATAACAGATTTTTCTAATTATCTATATGTAATTGTTATTGTAGAGTATAAGCTTTGCTTCGTATTAAATATTTACCTTTTTAAGTTTGAATGGGATTCATACAAGATTATTCGTCTACCAATTTACTAGATACGACGTAGATGTCGACTTAGATGGTAAAAGTTGACCTAGAAAATCAATTTTGACTTTGGAAATAAAAGTTAACCTAGAAAATCACTTTTGACCTAGAAAATCAAAGTTGACCTAGAAAATCACTTTTGACTTAGAAAATCTGTTGACCTAGAAAATCCTAGAAAATCAAAGTTGACCTAGAAAATCAATTTTCACCTGACCTAGAAAATCAATTTTGACCTAGACAATAAAATTGACCAAGAATATCAATTTTGACGTTGAAAATAAAAATTGACCTAGAAAATCAATTTTGACCTTGAAACAATAATGCCATGAACAAGCTGTTCCTAATAGTATAATCTCTACATTTTCATGGAACAATATTATTGTTCTTTTCTTGTCTTTGCTAGTTATATGTTTGTTGGTTATTATGTATGTTACAAAGCATTATATACTTATTGTAAATTTTATTTTAGGTTGCATTCTTTTGTTTCCCCTCTTTGTTTAGGTAACAAAACTGTGTGTGTGTGTGGTTTTTTTTAAACTATTTTTTTAACCATCCAATATGATTTTTGAGCTGTGTACGAGTGTCCAAATATATCCTGTATTGTACAGAACTAAGGAAAAATAGCATCTGTCTAAATCCCCATATTGTATTAAGGAAATTGTAGAAAATGAGACTAAAGAACATGTTCCAACAAGAAACCTTTAAGCTGTGTTTTGCCAAAGAATAGCCAATAATTTGTATATAAGACACTTTTGAGTGCTCTTTGCAGATATCATTTGAATACTTTTTATTTGTTCACAGTATGTATTTATATAGTGTTTGGAAAAGGTCATACATGCTCATTTATCATACAAACTTATATTGTCTGATACAGGAAATATGTTGGATGGTCACTTGGTACAATTCAGAAGCAATGATTGGATGTAAATAATTGATATAGAATAACAATAACTATGGGCTGGACCCAAGGTTTTGCAAATTCTATTTCATAGCTTTGTCTTATAAAGCATGTTTTGATTGGAGATTGAACATGTTTAAACATGAAAAATGATTAAGAAAAATTGCATTTTGTTGTCTTTCATAAAGAAATACAATAAAAAGAATTTTTGAGTTGTCTCCCCTGTTTTTTTTCTAAATGTTAATTTCTAAGAATTGAAAGCAACTCACTATTCATCAAGGGATTAAGGGAAATCATTCAAATCTTCACAGAATGATTCTCATAAAGTGCTCGGACATATATTATCGGTTTTGTGATTTGATTGTTTGCGGGAAAAATCATGGGGGTATTTTACTTCACATATGTACACTGTAATATGGTTTTGTGACAATAACCTGTGGCTTGTCTATTAATATGTTTTGATTGTTTTTATGTGCTTATTTAACCAAGTTATTGTGAAAATAATATTGTAGCTTTTGCGACGGAGAAAATTGTACAAAATATTTAATGTATATATCATCCCATGCCTCATAAAGACTTCATACTCTTTATGCCGGCAGGATTATTTTATTCAGTAAAGAGAAAATATACATACACATTTAAGATCTTACATTTGTTGTCATTTGATACAGACTTATTTAAATGATTACAAACTCTGTGATTCTGTTAAAATCAATAAATGATGATTGTATCGCAATTTACCCGAAGTCTCTTGGGCCTTCTTTTGTAAATTTTCGTAATACCTATTTTTAGAACATTTTAGTCATGTGATTAGTGTTTCATTAGTGCAGGGCTGACTAAATCTGATTTTGACTTTATAGTCTGTTTTTATCTGAAGCATTTCTTAACTTGTCTGTATGATGTTTATAAAAATTAATAATTTCTTGAAAATTTTACACTTGGCTGTGGGATAACCTGGCCAACACAGACAATTGATTTTGTGGTATCATTATTTGTAACAGACATACGGTAAAACTGATATGACATCTTTCATGCATGCTCCTTCGGTGTGTTATAAAATGAACCTTTCTTGCTCAGTCAGCATAAAATGATTATAAATTACGATTCTCACAACACCGCCATATGATAAAGCAAGGCAGTTGTATATTATTGGAGAAGCAGATAAAATCATACAAGCGTTACTTGTGTGTTATTGCACTTTTAATGTGTAAGTCAGATTGCCATGGGGAAAAGAAATTGACTGCATAATCATTTATAAGGGCCCCTGTAATTTCATTATCAAAACAAAACTGGCAAAAGGTATCGCACTCACATGTCGACTTTCTAGTTGTTACAAGTTTTGTAACATTTCTTGGAAAAGTTGAATGTACAATGTAAATCTGTATCAATTGATATCAAATGTGAGATTCATTTCATTACATGAAATATATAAATCAGCCATTGTTAAATTATTAAGTTATCGCAATGTAATCAGATCCACCAAAATGTAAAAAGGATATGTTTTATGAATTTTTATTCTAAAATTTCCATGATTTTATACTTTTGTTACAATTTTTTTACATTTTTATGTCATTTTACATTTTTGTTATGTGTTTCATATGTGACTTTATGTACAAGTGTTTAAATGTTACAAATACGACTATAGATTATTGTCTTAGTTAGTTCAGTATTACTATTTTTAGCTTCATTATAATGAAAGGTGCTTTGCTGAGGTCAAAAAGCCTAAAAACAAAAAAACAAAAATTTACATGGTACATAAAATGAAGCACTAAAAATGGAAAAATCTGCAAAGGAGAATGTAGAAATGTACACTTGCACCCAGAATTAATTTGAACATTAATTTTGTATGCAATTCTTTGCCAGATTTGAGCAGAAGAAAAATGTTGGAACGATTCATATTTTGGTCATTTTGCACTTTTATAATGAATATACTGGATTAATGGGTTGAGGGAATGATCTGAAAATTTGCACACAGGTCATTGGTTCATACTTACATCAAATGGTATACAAATCTCAAAAATTATTTCCAGACCAATCTTGTCAAAAAAAACCCTCAGTGGAGTCCCTTTAAGGCTAGATGGCTTTGTGAACACTTTGAGGTCACATTCATATAATAACACATACCTGTGCCATAGATATTAGATAAAATTCTTGCAACCTCCAGAGCGTTTCCAACAAACAATCCTTCATCCCAGTAAAAAAAAAAACATTGTAAAGCAAACATTGTATTTTGCTACTGATACAAAAAAGGGAAATGATTTTGAAAATTATTTTTGGCCATTTTGTAAGGGGCAGGACCCTTTCACTAATTTTTTGTTTTGTTTACTACAGCAACGACGAAGTATAACTTAACTTCAACATACATGTACCTTAGAGATTTTTTCATAAGAAAGATTTGTTGATAATGTTATTTTATAAACATACTATAACATGCTAGCAACTATCGTAATTTCAATATTTGCATATACTTTCTGACCTGCCTGTACATGACGTTTGTACTCTATATGTAGTTAGGCTTTTGATGTGCTTATGCCAAAAACATAAGGAGATTTCAGTCTGTGTGTCCATTTGAACACTTGACTCTACATTGTTAGATGCTGAACTTTTAGTATTCTTATACATGTATTGAATTCCCCAATTCAAGTAATAGAAAGTTCTGAATTCCCCCATTCAAGTAATGAAGTTCTGAATTCCCCCATTCAGGTAATGGAAAGTTTCACATTCCCCCATTCAGGTAATGGAAAGTTCTAAATTTAAAGATGGGCAAGTTCATTATACAAATATAGGCAGGTATGTAGAGAATGAGAATCAATGCATTTAAGTAACAATATATATACATGTATTTATTATTCACTGTGAATGTATGAGGTAATATCTGTGTTTGTACAGCTCCTAGATGTTAAAATATTACCCACAATTATGGTTTATTTATGCATTTATTTAAAGTGGTCAATTTGATTATCAAGGCAATTTGTTTAGAATTGGATTCAATTTGTTAATTTCCATCAGTTTTAGAATATACCATTCCTTAGCAAGGGTTACTTTAATTGGTTGAAATATGTTTTTCAGCCAATCAAAATGCATATAACATACAATAATTATTTAAAATTTTACCCAGATGATGCCAATGTCTATTTTGCAAGGAACACACTGGAAGTGAATCTTTTAATGCAGTTTGATTTTGAAATATTACCTCTAAAAATAGGATTTTTTTTTAGCCTATGTAATCAAAATGAAGGATATTTAATTCGAAAGCAAATGGAATGGAATTTGATTTTAACAAGTGTCTTCGCATAAATACTATATTTGAAGCAATTAAGTTGCAAGCCGTTAGTTGAAAGTGAATTAAACCAAAAGATTGCCGATTCTTTGCACGGCTGATAATTATATTCTGATAGATTATATGTAATATATATACTTTATTTACTATGTTAAAGTATCTTTGTATGCTCTTCTTTTGTTACCAGATTTTATATATATATAAATTGGTTTAAACTGTTGTATTTAAGTTTGTTTTTTAATAGACTGATCAGGAATGGAGCAAATTCTTCATTGTTCAGATACATATATATATCCAACTAAAATAAAAATATATAACAGTATATATTGTCTTTTTTCTTTATAATCATCATTACAGAAGCAGCTCTAGTGAGATCCGAAAGCATAAGAAACATTCAAACATCTTACATCATCGCAAGGGGCACTTAACTTGATATTATGCCAATCCAAGGGTATATATTGAGATAACAAATGAAGAGGTGGCCAGTATTGGTGTAGGTGTCTACCTTTCCACCCGTGGGTTGTGACACTCATGATCCATATGGCCTATGGTAAAGGTGTCTGCCTCTTCCCCTGTGGATCATGAGTGCGAGTCCTAATAGGGTCACGACTATGTTTCTTCATATGACATCAGAACTGGTTTGTTCCAGGAAGCAGACTCGAAAGTGTCAGATTAATATAAGTTGCAAGAACTTCTTTGGCAATGGAGCTTAAATAAATATGTTTATGGTAGTCTGACATACTGTAATGCTTTCCCGCCAAAAAACATTCTAACATTGGCCAATAGTGCAGCAAATCAGTTATTTCCGGCAATTCATCCTTTATTGCTATGTACTAAATTCTGGTTATAAACAGTTATAAATTATTGAGTACCAAAGATTGTGAAAAAATAACGTACGTCTGGAAATGACCAATTTATTATTACGACATTGGCCCATGTATGAAATATTTTGG